TATAACATCTGGCTATACATTCCATGCTTCAAATTTGTACTCCTGCATAGAGAGGAGGAAGACAAAGATCCTCAAAAGGTGGAGGTAAAGAAGGATATAGCATGGGTAGAAAAAAAATAGGTGGTTCAAGATCTCTCCATCTACAGCTCAAATTCCTGGTAGATACTGTGAGTTTGATGATAAGTGATCAATCATCCATCGTTCGGCGGGATATAAACTCAAACCATGGAGTCCAAGTCTGCAAGAATTTATCAGTGATATCATCTCAGGGAACGATTATTCAGCACAGTCTCATGTACCTCCGCTCCAATTAGCTCTCCTGGCTTGCCGGTAAGAGAGTAAAAATAGAGGTCTATGTAGACCGGGCAAAGTGAGTGACCCACGGCCAAGCCAGAGTTCCAGAGAAATAGGGCTACAGTCTTCGCAGTTATCTCTGGTTCTCTGAAACCATTTACTGGCAGTGGGAAAAGGCGCTCTTGGGTATTTGACATGGAGGGATACGCGGTGAGTGCCAAGGGTAGTGATCAAGTCTTTTGGGGAAGATTTGGGAGATATAATCATAGTCTGCCATACTAAGGGTTATCCCCAAGCTCTATCTATAATCTAGATACAAACCAGGGAGGTACCATGGTCAGCAGCAAAGAATATAGTACAGAGATATCACGAGTCATGAGATCGAGAATAACAGAGAGCCTGAAACGGAGTCAAATCTCTATGGATAAAATGTTGACCGGGTAGACATGAGCTCTGGAGCTGTTAATACCTAAACCTATCCAAAGATGAGCGTGGATGTTTAAGGATCAACGTGGGCAGAGGTTTAAGAGTGGTCTAATTGCACCACTGGACGCATTAACACCCAATTTGTAGAACTGAAACCTCAGAGCTGTGCAGGGAGGGCCCAGTCAGCGAGTTTGGGGTTATACGTGATGAGAGTCAGTAGTGCTTCCTGTAACGGACCGTTTTGCACGCAAGGGGTAAAAACCGTTTAGGCGATCGTCCCCCTTTCCAAAGATGCAGGCACAGCTACTGTAGAACACCAAACTCACGAACCGCCAATAAGGGAATGCTCCAAACTCCCGGTCGGCATACAATATAGCACTCCAAACACACGAACTGGAACCATACGAATCGCTGCTAGCAGACGAATAGGAAAAGCATCCAAGCGGCTTACATTCCTAGCAATCAGTCTCTATCAGCGTCCAGTAAATCCCCCCAAAGACGAGACAAAGCTCCGTGTTGAGGGTCAAGCAGTGGTCTGTTTAATGAGGGCTACCTGCCCAGTATTTATGCAGGTCTCCCACCTGGTGGACACTCCCCTAGGGGACCAAATGGGACATTGTGACAAAAGACAGACAAGTAGACAAATAGGACACACAGTCACATTATATTCCCACAATGCATCCTAGCTTCCTCCCTTCTGCCTTGGAGATAATTGAGAAGTAATTCAATTATCTCCCAAGACAAAGGCAAATCGCCATTATGCACGTGGGGATACTAAAACAGGGATTACTATTAAAATACACAGTATGACACAAGTTACACTAAAACTATACATTTACCATATCCCCAGATAGCTCAGGTCTAAGTGCACATTATTAAGCGAATGGCGCCCACACGAATACAGTTTAATCGCCATGGAGCCAAAGTCTTTACACAGTCAGTTCTCATGCGAATGGGCTCCATGAGATTCCTATCTGGGGTATAACACATTCAAGTAAAACTACTGAACACCGGGCCGTTCGTGCACTTTCACCGAACAAGAAGGGAGGTCGGCGGCTTCAGCGGTGTTCACGCAAAACTGTGTCCGATTTTAGTTCCATTAATTGAGCGTCGAACACCGCTGTGCGTTCGCGGGTTTAAAATGGCCGCGACCTCGTGTTCGTGATACAAATGGCGGCCACCCAGCATTAGTCAATTAGGGAGGCTAATTGCTGGCACACTCCAGTTCCCAGGTGGTCGTCATTCGTGCAGAAAATCACGAATAAGTCTTTTCTGCAGGGAAAAAGATGTCTTTTAACATGGGGCCATAGTCCAAAGGCAGCAGGCGAGCAACCAGGCTTCTCCAATGCAATGAGGCGAGATTGCTCTCGTCACACTTCCCCACTGCCGGCCTGTCTAAACGCAGCAAGGAAGACAGCCTACGCTCAGCTTGTGAGAGCACCAGGTTCACCCACAATTTAGGAGAATTATTCACATGCCAATCTGCAATTCAAAGTAAGATGGTTACTTGGTAATCCCACAATGCATTACTTCAATGGTGGTCAAAATGTAGATGCCAAGCTAAGAGTTTATCTGAAAATGTTTCAGCAATGGTTCTTTAAAAAAAATGCTGATACAAAACACATTTTTGGTTATTTATGATGGCGGTGGATTGTAAATTTAACTAAAATTAGTCATGATAAAAACCAAGTTCAATACATTTTCCCTTCACTATTTTAGAGTAAAATGTGCAATATCTTTGCCCAATGCCCAATGGACACTCCATTGAAAATACATTTAACAACTTAGTAGATAACCCCTCTCCTCGCCAGCCCTCTCCTTTTTCCCCCCAGGGAAATACATCAATCAGAAGTGGAGATATTGACCCAGTCCAAGCTTTCCTATGCTTCTCAATGATATGTTATACAGCTTGATGAGAAGGGGGAGGCAACCGCATGCTAGCCCAGCGTACCTGTCGAAAGAAAACCTCCCTGGCTGTCTGAGTTACAGCTTAGGTGTTGCTGTCCTCAATTATAAAAGTGCAGATTTCTACCGAAACTGTTACAAATAGGACAGAATCCAAATCCATAGCCCCTTAGGGACACAACTTCTGGAATAAAAGTGAATCATGACGGAATATTTCCATCATGTGTCCTTAAGGGGTTAAAGGAATTCTGCAAGCCATAGAACTTGATCTGTGAAGTGTACCTTTAATGAACAAGCCAGCTTACTGGCTTTCTATCCTAGTTCCATATATACATGATGTCTGCTTATGTTGAAGGGCTGGTTAGAGAGATTGAAGTCCTCATTTTCATCTCCTGACCCAGAATCCATAACTGAGCTGTGTTATGCATCATCTCAGGATCTTGTTGGAAAACATATCTGCTCTCGTCTTTTTATGTTTGCTCAAAAGAGAAAAACATATTCTGCCGAGAATTATTAAGCATAATTTCCTGAATTTACCTGCAACCGGATCACGTGGCCTCGGGAGTCTCTTTCCTGTGCGACTTTGATATCAAATCTGGCTGCACACAGGATACCAAAGCACAGGTGCTACGAATAAAATACATGTTACCATGTGAAAAGTCACTGGGAGAAAAAAAAAAATGAAAAAGGGGTATCTTCTAGCTTTTTGGGGGGGCCTCTGGGTGGGAAGATAAGCCCATAAAGAGTTACTACAATCAAAACTGTTTTGTGAAAACACTTGTATTTGGTTGCCTTTCATGTAATGTTTTGTTTTACATTTGAATCCACCTTTTCAAGTCACTCCTTACCTCTGTTCACTTTACACTATTCATAATCTCAAAATTATGATCTTCAACACATGTGTGAGTGGGGCTGTGGCTGGGGGCAAGGTTATTCTGAGAAATTTAAGGTGACTTACTAATCACAATTTATAGAACTAAAAAGTCATTTATAAAAAGAACAATATGTTATTTACACAGACTGATTTCTAAAAACCTGTAATGTACTTTAAAGATTAGGGACATAGATATTTGGGCCAAAATAAGGACTGTCCCTCCTAAATAGACACTTGGGAGGTATGCTATGTATTACTTCTTGTCTGCTGTTCCCATTACAGCCTCTTCCACACTTTACTTAAGCAGAACCTATAGTCCCAAACACTCGTAATTTCTGGACTATAGGTTCCCTTCTGTACACCCCTGTTGACATAAAAAAAAAGGAAATACAGTAAATAATCACTACTCGCCTTGTATCCAGCCCTGGGACTCCTCTGATGAAGCCTCCGCTCCTCCTCCGTTAATGTCAGCATCCAAGCTTTTGACTGGAACTAGGCAAGGGCAGCCATACACCACATCCTTCCAATCCAATGCGGCTATCAACAGCATTAGATTCCTGGACGGAGTTTTACTCCGTTCTAGAAAAGGAAGTGCCTCTAGTGGCTCTCAAGTCTCTAAAACGTATACAATGTAGGATTACAATGACAAGACCACTGCACCCAGATCACGTCATTGAGATTAAATAGTCTGGGTGACTTTAGCGGTTCTGTTACTCACCGACTCTCATCCCTCCACACTTCACCTGAAAGATCTCTTCCTCCAATAAATCTTCACTTTCCTTTGTAATACCCTTCCCATTGTACCTACTCCTACATTTTTCTTCTTTCAAATGCAAGTGTACATATCCCATGCCTCACCCAATTCTGCCTCAACTGAATATTTGGGTTTTACAGTTAGCAAATTGATTGATAAACATAAAAAATGGTGGGAGTTACTTGGGAACATCGCCTCCTTGTGATGTGAGACTAGTCGGGCAAAAACTAAGAGGAAACATTTGAAGGCCAAGTGAAGCAGAAGGAACATGTTTGGGCACAGGTTCTGGTAAACAGACAACTACATTTCTCTTTTTACTAGGACAAATTAAAAGTGTAATTTGCAGTATATTTTAAACTATATTTAACGTGGAAAATATACCTGTCAGTTTCCAATATTACATAAAAATGAGTGTTTTAACCTTTAAGAGGTTCTAGGATTATCACAAAACTGCTCTTTTACCAAATGCAAATGCTCAATTGAGCTCCCAAAATTAAATAAGTAGGACACGCTAAGCTTTGGGGAGTAGATGATGATTATGATTGTCAAGCACAACATTTGTACTATTAATAATTACCTTATGGTATCATTCACAGAATTGCAAACTGTGGAAGTAAGGCTTAATATGTCAATACTTATGCGCAAGTCAGCACAATTATCTATTTAGTAAATACCACATTAATATGATTAGATTTGCAATATTCATCCTAGTAAGTGAAAAATAATAACCACAAGACGAACGATAAATTACATTAATAGTTTTTATTTTTAAGAAAAGAAAAGAAAAAAAAATGATAGTGCAAACCATTTTAATTTTTAGACAATAGACATGGATAGAAATGCACCTATGCTACGAACAAGGTGTATAAGGCAAAATCATTTCTAGTAAAAATGCTAGATTCATATTCCAATGTACTAAATGCTTTCTCAAAGTGAACATTTTCGGTTTCAGTCTTAATAGCTCATAAATAAAGCCAACCTTTTTACATCTCAATCCAATTTAATCTAGGCAAATCACAAACATTAAATACGAGGCTGAAATAATGTGAAAATTAAAACTAGATTAATGTAAAAAGTGATCCATTTCTATCTGTAATAAGTTAGGGTCTAACAATCAAAAATGGTTATTGTCAAAATGATCCCCATGCAATTTGTAGTCTAGTAATAACAGTACCACATGGAAACACTCTGTGGAATAGACAAGTGAACTGAATATCTGATACAAAAACAGTTGGAAAATTAGTTGTTTGGGAATACTCCTAATTTGACCAAGGTCCTAATATTTGCCATTTCCCTGTCTATTCCCAAGCCAATTCATTCCCCCTCTTAATTGGAAGAAGGAGGTAGTGAGGAAGAGCATTAGAATATCATGTAAACTACTGTTAAAACTGAAAAACTTTGAATCACTAGAGTGTACTTCATTGTTGCCAATAAAGACATTTCAAAGCTCTGAAAATACAAAATTATATTTTACATAAAAGGAAGACTCCTAGCACCATAACCAGCGCTGCTGTCTTGCATTGGCTGAATGTGTCAGCCGATCGCTCTCAGCCAATTAGCCATGTTTTGCGGCACCGGTAGTGCAAGTGGTACCCAGTGGACCTCCGGTAATAAGTCAAATCATTCCACCAAAAATTATTCGACTCCTTATGACAGGGTGGCGCAAGGCCACTCCAGGCACCATAACCACTACAGTGAGTTATGATACTTCAGTTGTTACTTTAATTGTATAGTGCAGTAACCCAAAGCTGAACTTGGGCTTTCTACAATCACATTTAAAAGGTACATGATGTGTTGAACAGAACGTTTATTAAAAAAAAAAAAAAAAATAAAAAAAAAAAAATCAGAAAAGGTGTAGCCTTCCTGATCTTCTCAGATGTTGAATTGTAGCTACTATGAAGCAAACAGACAATGTGACACAGAAACACTTAGATACACTATGCCAACCAGCAGTTAGCAACATGTACCACGCAATTTATAGCAAGTTTAGCTTTGGATGTTTAACCCCTTCCTGACTTTAGGGCGTGCTATGCCATCCTACAAAAGGAGTACTTTAAAGAGACACTATTTTGGCTTGCTGAAAAGCTGTGTGTGTGAAGAGTATGTCCTCTTTTTTTTTGGAAGTTGTGCAGATTTGAATAGAAATTGACACTTTTATAAATTATACTGGATTTACCATCAGCTTTCAAGCAGGAAGTCTGATTGGACAGCTACATAAAGTCTGGGTGGGGTTAGAAGAGGAGGGTTTCATAGGCATCAGGCAAGAGGTCTGCAGTTTTTGCAAGCGGTTTTTAGATATAAATCCAATGAAAAATGCATAATTAAGTTTTCATTAAGAGTATATCTACTAAACTTGCTTTTTTTAAAATCTGTATGTGGGCAGTGGAGTGACCCTAACGCTGTTAGGGCAGCAAAGCACACCAAAACAATCGGGCCCACCTGACAGCCCAAATACCCACCCTCTGCAGCAATCACGGGTGTCCTCCTGTAGCCAGAGTCCTTGAACAGCATCATGGTGATGGCGAGGACAGTGTGATCACATGACTCAGCCGGATTACAAAATTGCCTGCAGGGGGAATGCATGGGCTTTTTATACATTGAGGGACTTGCTTGACAACCCAGACATTAATAGCAAGATTTGAATTTGCAAGCCCTGTATTTGACAATGTAACTTTCCAAAAAAACCTGTACATTATTATTATTATTATTATTATTAATATAGCGCAAACAAGTGGCAGTATATATGTACAATGCAGGTACTGCTGTAATTGTGAGACATTGCTAGACACAAATATGCGTGTTAGTAAAAGCCAACAATATGATGACATTCACAGTTAAAAAGGTCATGCAGAACTTGGACTATAACAATATTTCTTAATTTCTCACACCTTTTTAGATTTTATTCATATTAAATTGTGTTCCATATATAAAATATTGGATGTGAAATGAAAGCCAATTTCTCCTGAATCAAATGAGGAATAATATGAAAGAGGAAAATTATGGTTGAACAGTCAAATTCAAGGTTTTGTTTTGGTTAGAACTTGTACAGGTGCCTCTGTTCATAAGGGGTTAACTCTTTTTGCTGCTTATATACTACAGAGATGAAAATAACAAAAAGTAAATATTATGTAGCTATTCATTAACATTACCACATTAAGATGCTTTTGATGAGAGTCAAGTGCAACATAGGGTGTATTGAGTTAAACATCAAAAGACTGATTTATGGCAATATCAAATCATTGAGCATGTTAGGCTGTATGTATCTCCATGCCTTTAAATTGTGCTTATTTGTAACAAGCAGTAAAATCCTCAACTATTGGTCTAGTACTACAGGCTTTAATTTAATAGTTTTTTGGGTAAAAAGAAAAAAAATATATAGATTTATTAGATTTAGAACAAAAACAGCAACGGAAAACAAAACACACACAACACACAGCTATATTAAAATATCATCTATTTCCCTAAACTGTAACAACATTATTCCAAGTTTTGCACGTCAAGCTATTATGGGTCTCCAAATAATTATTAATAAAAGTTAGTAATGCAAAAAACAAACAAACAAAAAAAACAATTCTATTGCAGCTTGACAAGAATCCTTAAGAACAAAACAAAAATATGCACTCTTTGGTGAAATAACATTTGTGTTTGTTTTGCAATGTACAGAATTTAAAATGAAAATACCCATGTATTGCCATCATAATAACGCAATGGATTTGCATCGAAATCGGGCAGCTCAGATGGTCATAGGAATGTCAGTAATTGGAAGAGAGCGAGAGGAAAAATAAAAAATAAACTATTCCAGAACATGACCTATTTCTTTTCTTCAAAATTTCTTTTACAAAAATACGTGTTTGTGTTAGCAATAAATAAATCTCGAACTTATGCTCACATCGACAATGATGGATGAATTTGTGCAGTATATTTACAACTGAATTTATATTTTCCCCACCCAGATCTACTCCTTCCGCCCAACATCAAGTCCAATATTGTTCCGTAATGCGTTCAATCAGACTGTTTCTGTGGGATGCATCCTTCCATCTCTACAACCTCTGGCCAGCCTTCGTACTTGTTTGTATCTTTGTTGTTCTTTATGTGCTGGGAACAAGAAGATGAAGGCAGTGGTTATTTTATTTTTTCCTATTTGGACATTGAAATGAAAATAACAAATAAATAAAATAACTACAATTACACTGAACAAAATTATAAATGCAGCACTGTTTTGCCCCCCCCCTTTTCATGAGCTGAACTCAAAGATCTAAGACTTTTTCTATGTACACAAAAGGCCTATTTCTCTCAAATATTGTTCACAAATCTGTCTAAATCCGTGTTAGTGAGTACTTCTCCTTTGCCGAGATAATCCATCCACCTCACAGGTGCGGCATATCAAGATGTTGATTAGACAGCATGATTATTGCACAGGTGCGCCTTAGGTTGACCACAATAAAAGGCCTCTCTAAAATGGGAAGTTTTATCACACAGCACAATGCGACAGATGTTGCAAGTTTTGAGGGAGCATGCAATTGGCATGCTGACTGCAGGAAAGTCCACCAGAGCTGTTGCCCGTGCATTGAGTGTTCATTCCCAAAAGGCGTTTCAGAGAATTTGGCAGTACATCCAACCGGCCTCATAACCGCAGACTATGTGTAACCACACCAGCCCAGTACCTCCACATCCAGCATCTTCACCTCCAAGATCGTCTGTGACCAGCCACCCAGACAGCTACTGCAACAATTGGATTGCATAACCAAAGAATTTCTGCACAAACTGTCAGAAAACATCTCAGGGACGCTCATCTACATGCTCGTTGTTCTCATCGGGATCTCGACCGGACTGCAGTTCGTCATCGTAACTGACTTGAGTGGGAAAATGCTCACATTTGATGGAGAGGTGTTCTCTTCACGTTTGAAACCCGGTTTTCACTGTACAGGGCAGATGGCCAACAGCATGTATGGCGCCGTATGGGTGAGCAGTTTGCCAATGTCAACGTTGTGGATCGAGTGGCCACTGGTGGTGGTGGGGTTATGGTATGGGCCGGGTATGTTATGGATAACGAACACAGGTGCATTTTATTGATGGCATTTTGAATGCACAGAGATACCGTGACGAGACCCCGAGGCCCATTGTTGTGCCATTCATGACCATCACCTCATGTTGCAGCACAACAATGCATGGCCCCATGTTGCAAGGATCTGTACACAATTCCTGGAAGCTGAAAACATACTCACTGGACATGTCACCCATTGAGCATGTTAGGAATGCTCTGGAACAGCGTATATGACAGAGTGCTCACTAACACAGATTTAGGCAGATTTGTGAACGATATTTGAGAGAAATAGGCCTTTTGTGTACATAGAAAAAGTCTTAGATTTTTGAGTTCAGCTCATGAATAATGGGGGGCAAAAACAAAAAAGTGTTGGATTTATAATTTTGTTCAGTAACTAATGGAAAGTCAGTCAAGTGTGTGTGCAAGGTTAACCTTAAAAGGACACTATAGGCCAAAAAACAACGTTAACATAATGAAGCAGATTTGGTGTGTAGATTATGCTCAATGATCTGCTATTTAGGAGTTAAATCACTTTGTTTATGCAGCCCTAGTCACACCTCCATGCACGTGATTTACACAGCCTTCCTAAACACTTCCTTTAAAGAGAGATCTAATGTTGAAACTTCCTTTATTCCACAGTCTTTTTGTTTCGAATTTCCTCATTTTCTTCTCTGTTAATAGCCTTCTAGACTCTACAGGAGCCTTGTGTGTTAATAAAGTTCAATTACAGAGCAGGAGTTAAAAGCTTCTAAAGCAAGTTAGCATCTGGTTGAAAATTAAGCCTTTTTTTCATGCAGGCTGTGTGAATTATAGCCAGGGGAGGTGTGACTAGGGCTGCATAAACAGAAACAAAAAGTGATGTAGCTCCTAAATATCAGAGAATCGAGCAGTGAGACTTCAGAGGCATGATCTATACACAAACACTGCTTAATTAAGCTAAAAAGTTATTTGGTGACCATAGTGTCACTTTAAGCCACCACCAAATTTTCCCTATCACTTAACTACTGAAATAATGACATTCTAGGTCAGTGGTTTTCGAAGCCAGTCCTCATGCTCCACATACCAGTCCAGGATTTAAGGATTACCGAGTTGTGTCGAAGGTGTTTTTTTCCTGCTAAAAACACTTTAGACACAACTCCGTATCTCCTAAATCCTGGACTGGTGGAGTGGAGGAGGAGGCGTGAGGACTAGTTTGGAAACCACTGTTCTAAGTAAACGAGCAAGTTACTAGATGGTAGATCTTGCAAGACAACAGATGTCCTCAGCAATATTATTCCAACTTTGAATTTATGAATTTCTATTTATATAGTTATATACAAGTCAAATAAGTCTTTGCTAACCATAATAACTGGGCAGTGTTGTAGAAAAAGCAGCACTACAAGCATTGCTTACCTGCTCAAATGGACTTTTAGTTTTTATGCCCTTTCCACCAACAAAGACCCAGTTGTCTCTAAAAGCCAAGGAATTAATCGACGAACTCCCAAGTTCAGCAATAAGCTTTCTTGCTTCATCATTGAGCCTAAAACGGTAAAGCGAAGAGATTTTACTCAGATTCCATGAAATGGAATTAATGAACAGAATGCAAAAGATATAAACAACGCATGAACACCCAATAGTATAAAAACTCCAGAGTATGATTAGATATTCTTTATATAGAATCTGGATGTTTTGCAGTATTACAATTGAGCATTATTGATACTTGATGCAGAAGGAGTGGAAGACCCAACAATCATATGGCTGTATTAAAAAATGTACAGATATGATAATACACACAGTATAGTGAATATATTGTATATATAATATATTCACAGAACACATACTAAACGTGATATACATACTTTGTTGCTCCATCATCGTAAGTTGCCATTAAAACGATCGTTCCATCGTCAATTTTTTTAATGTACTCAATAAAAGGGGAAACATCTGAAAATGCAAAATGTATTTTTAACATAAAAGCATTTAAATATTTAACACCAAATCAGATGTAGGGGGAAGGAAAACTTACTGCAAGAATACGGAGCTATTTAAAAAAGTTGTCTATATACTTAAACATCTATAAAACGTTGTCTAGGAGTGCAGATACTGTGCTAATTAATCCTAGGAGTCTCTATGTGATATCCAGGTAAATATCCCATACACTCTATATAGAATATTCTAGGAAAATGCTCAAGCTTATTGTACATCCGTAAACAAACAGATAAAATTTGTATCTTGTAATACCTTTTTTATTGGACTAACAGAATTTTTTTAGGACACGCTTTTAGGAGAACCTCCCTTTCTCAAGTCTGAAGCATTTCTAAACAAGACGACACATAGAATTCAAAGTTGAGTTGTGATACAGGGGTTAAAAAGTGACACGAGTGCAGGTAAGACACAGGTTTGATAGAAAATAGACAACATTCTTGCAGAGGGTCACATATATATATATTGTAACAGAGTGTTGGGGATGGTGGTCAGGGGTGTATATCTGGCACCCAGACTTTTGCACAGCCACTATCCTGACATGTGGGTAAGCACATGCAGCCCCAGGGAAAGTTAAGTTTAAATGTAGTTTTTTTTCCTCTGTTGTTATTTGGGTCCCTGGGGTGGAGTATTCGGAAGAGCAGGGTGGGCCGATTCTCCACCCACTGTCAGAGTGGTTGTGCATGAGTCCAGCCCAGGTTTTCCATAGAGTTCTGGCTCACTGCCTAACGAGGTCATTAGCCTCACCTGTAGGGGCTGTGAGCAGCTATATAACTGCAGTTAAAGCAGGGTGAAGGGAGGGAAGTGTTTTGGAGGAGAAAGAAGGTGTTTTTGTGGAGAAAGAAGATTTGCTGTTCATTGTATCCTGTTACTTCACAACAACAGAAAATAAACAGGCCAGAGGCCTTTTTGAAACTGGACTTTGTCTTGACCTGGTTTTCTTACCCTAGAGGGCTGTGCGGTTGCCAAAAGATCCTGGACAAACACACACAGGAAAGTAAGTTTGTCACATATGGTGGAGAATGCGGGCACTGCACTAAAGAAGCCTGTGGGTATTAACTGGAAGCCAAACAAGCCTGTAGAAATATGGAGGAAGTTGTGAAAGTCTTGTTGCAAACTACAGCTGCACAGCAAAAGGCTACAGCCGTACAGCAGGAGGCTACAGCCGCACAACAGGAAAATATTACAGCCCTACAGCAACTGGTAATTACGCAAAAGGCCAACACAGATGCTTTGATCCAGCAGGTTATGGCAGCCCAAGCTGAGGCAAACCGCCTGCTCAGAGAGGAGCAACATCAGGCCACCAGTATGATACAGAAGGAGATACAGGCTTTGACCAAGGGACTGACCAGAGTCTCAGATGGGACGCAGTCCGAGGTTAAAATGATCAGAGCCAGCCGTTACCTGCAGAAGATGACACCTACAGATGATGTGGAAGCATACCTGCTAGCTTTTGAGAGGACAGCTGAGAGAGAAGAGTGGCCGGTGAGTGAGTGGGCAAGCATACTGGCACCTTTTCTTATTGGAGAACCCCAGAAGGCTTTCTATGACCTGGAACCAGCACAGGCAGGGGTCTACTCCAAACTGAAGGCTGAGATCCTTGCACGACTTGGTGTGACTAGGGCAGTTCGTGCCCAAAGATTTCACGCCTGGTCTTTCAACCAAGAGAAACCTATCCGCTCCCAGATGTTTGACCTGATACGTCTTGCTAGAAAGTGGTTACAACCAGAAATAAATACAGCAAGCCATATCATGGAACTTCTTGTGATGGACAGATTCCTGCGGGGCTTGCCTGCTTCACTGAGTCGATGGGTCAGTCAGAGCGATCCACAAACAGCTGATGAGTTAATTGGTTTGGTGGAAAGATATGTTGCTGCAGATGACAGACAGTGGCTCAACAACACAAAGGCTAAGCAGAGAGTTAAGACTCCAGCTGCTGAAAGACCTGGTAAGAATTTTCAAGGTTTCAGAGACACAGAGGAACAAGAGACATATTCTCAGAGACCCCATATGCTTTTGCCTAGAAATGTTAATCCTGGAAAAGGGTCTAGGTGGGGGACAGTTGACGATATTAAATGCTTCCGGTGTAATGAACCTGGACATAAAGCTAGAGACTGTCCCTTGATTGATGAACCTATGCAATGCAATATGATTAATCAGGATGTACAATTGTCTTGTTTGCTGAATTGTATGGAATCTGCTGTTGCCAACTGTTGTCACAATCCACAGATATGTTCCATAAGGGTGAATGGGAAAGAGGTTAGAGCTCTATTAGACTCCGGAAGTATGGCGACATTGATAGCAAAATGCCTTGTACCTGAAGCCGATGTTGATGCATTGCAGAAAATTGGTATAATTTGTGTTCATGGTGACAAACGTGAATATCCTACAGTTTTGCTAAAATTTGAAAGCCTTTTTGGTACTGTGAATCATAGAGTGGGGGTAGTGGACAAATTGGCTTATGATGTGGTGTTGGGAAGGGATTTCCCCCAATTTTTAGACTTGTGGGGGTCTCCAGGAAAAGTAGCTCATGATTGTATAGCAAATGATGATGATTCTGGAAATGTGTTCCCTTTTTCTGACATAGAATGGGAAGGACTAGGCATAAGACCAGAGAAGGCTGAAGCCTCAAGTCACAGGCCAGCTTTAGTAGGAGATGACCAGGGCCACGATAGTCAGGAGTCCGATAACGATCAGGATCAAGGCATTAACTTCCCTGAATTAGAAGTCAGTCCTGTTAACTTCAGGAAAGCGCAATGGGAAGACCCCACTCTTGCAGAGGCCCGTAAAAATATCCAGGTTTCAACTGATGATCCAGTACAACTAGATAGAGCCCCTTCTTTTCCTTACTTTGAGGTACAGAATGATTTGATATACAGAGTAGAGAAAAAGGGGATGGATGTTGTAAAACAACTACTTGTTCCTAAGCCTTTCAGACATACAGTCCTAAATCTTGCACACAGCCATATACTGGGGGGACATTTAGGCATAGAAAAGACAAAAGAAAGAGTCTTACAGAGGTTTTATTGGCCTGGGGTATTTGCTTCAGTTGCGAATTATTGTTCTTCTTGTCCTGAATGCCAACACACCGCCCCTTTAAAGGCATACCGCAGTCCTCTGGTACCATTGCCTATAATAGAAATACCTTTTGAAAGGATTGCAATGGACTTGGTAGGTCCTCTGGTAAAGTCTGCAAGGGGGCATCAGTATATATTGGTGATCCTGGATTATGCTACCAAGTACCCGGAAGCAGTACCCCTACGTAACACGTCTGCAAAGACAATAGCGAGAGAACTCATGCTCATGTTTAGCCGGGTGGGCATACCAAAAGAAATTTTGACAGATCAGGGTACACCATTTATGTCTAAAGTTACAAAGGAGTTATGCAAACTACTTCAAATTAAACATCTTAGGACCTCTGTTTATCATCCCCAGACAGACGGACTGGTAGAACGGTTTAACAAGACCTTAAAAAGTATGTTACGGAAAGTAATTGACAAAGATGGTAAGAATTGGGACTGCTTACTACCCTATCTAATGTTCTCCATAAGGGAGGTGCCACAAGCTTCTACAGGGTTCTCTCCTTTTGAGCTTCTATATGCCCATCATCCCAGAGGTCTGCTAGATATAGCAAAAGAAACCTGGGAACAGGAGTCCAATCCGTACCGTAGTGTAATTGAGCACATAGCTCAAATGCAAGATAGGATGGCGGCTGTCATGCCAATAGTTAAAGAACATATGCAGAAAGCCCAAGAGGCCCAGAAAAACAGTTATAATAAAAATGCCAGACTGAGAGTTTTTCACCCAGGAGACAGGGTGCTTGTTTTGGTCCCTACAGTAGAAAATAAATTTCTAGCATCTTGGCATGGCCCATATGAGGTTATTGAACAGGTTGGGGAAGTTAATTATAAAGTGAGACAACCCAATAGGAGAAAACCCGAGCAAATATATCATATAAATTTACTAAAACCCTGGAAGGACAGAGAGGTCTTAACTACTTCAATTATCACTAATAAGACTGGTAGTGAACTTGAAGTAAATATACCAGACACCCTGTCCCCACACCAGAAACAGGAAGTAAGGGACTTTATTGGTAGAAACCGGGATGTATTTTCTGTAGTTCCTGGCAGGACTAACGTTATCAAGCATGATATCGTTACAGAACCAGGGGTGAAGATAAGTCTTAAACCGTACAGAATCCCAGAAGCACAGAAAGAGGCGGTAGCTGCAGAAATTAAGAAAATGTTAGCTCTTGATATTATTGAGGAATCACAAAGTGAGTGGAACAGCCCTATAGTACTGGTGCCAAAACCTGATGGTTCGTTAAGATTTTGTAATGATTTTCGTAAATTAAATAGTGTGTCAAAGTTTGATGCTTATCCAATGCCTAGGGTTGATGAACTGATAGAGAGACTGGGTAAGGCTCGGTACCTGACTACTTTAGACCTGACGAAGGGTTATTGGCAAGTACCTCTTACAGACAGAGCAAAAGAAAAGACAGCTTTTTCAACATCAGGGGGATTGTTCCAATACAAAGTGCTACCATTTGGGTTACATGGGGCCCCTGCCACTTTTCAAAGACTGATTGATAGGATTTTGAAGCCTCACAGCCGTTATGCAGCCGCATACTTAGATGACATAGTCATTCACAGTCCTGACTGGGCTTCACATCTTCCCAAAGTGCAGGCAGTACTGGACTCTATCCGCCTAGCTGGTTTAACTGCTAACCCATCTAAGTGTACTATAGGTTTGGAAGAGGCAAAATATCTGGGTTATTCGATTGGGAGCGGACTAGTTAAGCCCCAAACAGCAAAAGTGGAGGCCATACAAAATTGGCCACGCCCCCTCACTAAAAAGCAAGTTAGGACATTTTTAGGACTTATTGGGTATTACAGGCGATTTATTCCTATGTTTGCTACATTAGCAGCTCCTTTAACGGATCTCACAAAAGGTAAAGCCCCACTAGTGGTTAAGTGGTCAGTAGAGGCAGAAAAATCGTTTGTAACTTTGAAAGAGGCTTTGTGCACCCAACCGGTTCTGGTAACCCCGGATTTCACTAAAGAGTTTATTGTCCAAACCGATGCATCAGAGCTTGGGTTAGGGGCAGTTCTGTCTCAGGAAATTCAGGGTGAAGAACACCCAGTGTTTTATTTAAGTAGGAAGCTGTCTCCCGCTGAGAAAAAATATTCTATAGTGGAAAAGGAATGCCTTGCCATAAAATGGGCCTTAGACTCATTGAAATATTATCTGCTGGGTAGAAAATTTAGGTTGGTCACAGACCATGCCCCCTTAACCTGGATGAGTCAAAACAAAGATAATAATGCCAGGGTGACAAGGTGGTTCCTCAGTTTACAACCGTTTCATTTTACAGTTGAACATAGGCCGGGGTCTAAACATGGTAATGCTGACAGTTTGTCGCGAGAAAATGTTTTTCTGTGGTCGCTCACCCCACTAGGTCTGAGCTGGGGGGGAGGATATGTAACAGAGTGTTGGGGATGGTGGTCAGGGGTGTATATCTGGCACCCAGACTTTTGCACAGCCACTATCCTGACATGTGGGTAAGCACATGCAGCCCCAGGGAAAGTTAAGTTTAAATGTAGTTTTTTTTTCCCTCTGTTGTTATTTGGGTCCCTGGGGTGGAGTATTCGGAAGAGCAGGGTGGGCCGATTCTCCACCCACTGTCAGAGTGGTTGTGCATGAGTCCAGCCCAGGTTTCCCATAGAGTTCTGGCTCACTGCCTAACGAGGTCATTAGCCTCACCTGTAGGGGCTGTGAGCAGCTATATAACTGCAGTTAAAGCAGGGTGAAGTGAGGGAAGTGTTTTGGAGGAGAAAGAAGGTGTTTTTGTGGAGAAAGAAGATTTGCTGATTCATTGTATCCTGTTACTTCACAACAACAGAAAATAAACAGGCCAGAGGCCTTTTGAAACTGGACTTTGTCTTGACCTGGTTTTCTTACCCTAGAGGGCTGTGCGGTTGCCAAAAGATCCTGGACAAACACACACAGGAAAGTAAGTTTGTCACAATATATATATATATATTTTTCTGAAGATCAGAGTGAGGGGGGATAATCACCTTATCGTACTGTTCTGTCACATGTATCAACACTTCAAAATGCATTCAAATATGTTTATCCTATCAATATATAAGTAGTATGTGTAGACCTATGCTTTCCCATACTCTTATGCATGTATGCTTATATATGTGACTGTGCATTTATATTTCTGTATATAAGTTTATGTGCATGTATGTATATGTATGAGTTCATGTGTTTGCATGTGGTAACGTGTGTGTAATATATATATATATATATATATATATATATATATATATATATATATATATATATATATATATAATTTTACCATCTTCTGAACTGTCCCCCCCCCCCTCAATCTGATCTTCAGAAAGATATTCATGACCAGGTCCAGACTGGGGATACAAGGCAGCCCTGGAAAAAAAAAAAAATCTATGCTAGCCCCATAAGTTATTGCGCCATATATTGTTGCATGTAATACGTAAGGCTATGTCTTGCCACCCCAGATGATAGAGTAATATATATATATATATATATATATATATACACACACACACACATACATATATCTCAAATATATATTGCTTTTTCTAATATAAAATATTGGTCCTTTCAGAGTAAAACATTTAATTATACAGTAAGCATACTCACATGCAGACACAGACAATCTCACTGAGACACACAATCTCATTAATACACAGCCTCATAGACAAACAATCTCACTGATATATATAACCTCATTGACAAAAAAAAAAAGCTCACTCATTAGCAGGCGCGCACACACACACAGCTTAATGTAGTGGTTCTGGTGTCTATAGCCTGTCCCAGCAGGCTTTTCAATGTAAACGCTGACTTTTAAGAGAAAAAGCAGTGTTTACATTGCTTCCTAGTGACACCTCTAGTGACAGACACTCAGACGGTCACTAGAGGCGCTTCCTGTATCAGTGCGGATTGGCTGAGATCATCAAGCTTGATGATCTCAGTCATAGAGCCAGGGCCAGTCGAGGGGAGACCAGCACGACGTTGGGAGAAAAAAAAAAGTGAGTAAAAACACTATTTGAACACACACACATATACCATGAAATACGCACGCACACACCCCATGACACATACATATACCATGAAATACGCACGCACACACCCCATGACACATACATATACCATGACAGACACACACACACCCCATGACACATACACATACCATGACAGACACACCATGACACACACACTCACCATGATACAAGCACACCGTGACACAGACAGACACACATTACATGACACAGACACACACCGTGACAGACACAGACACACACCGTGACAGACACACACACACACCGTGACAGACACACACACACACCGTGACACAGACACACACACACACCGTGACACAGACACACACACACACACCGTGACACAGACACACACACACCGTGACACAGACAGACACACCATGACAGACACACACACACTCCCACTGACATACACACTTGTTGCTACCTGTGGGCAGACAGGTGTGCTGGCGGCCGCAGGGGAAGCTGTGTGTTCTGTCTCTGCTCCCCAGCGCGCAGCTTAATTAGACCGGGGCCGGAATATGACGTCATATTCCGGCCCCGGTCTAATTAAGCTGCGCGCTGGGGAGCAGAGACAGAACACACAGCTTCTCCTGCGGCCAACAGAAGAGCTCCCCCTGCGGCCGCCATCCAAGCTCTCCCTGCGGCCGCAGGTCGCCCACATGTCTCCCCGGCCCCAGGTGCCGATGGCCCACCGGGAAATTTCCCGGGATCCTGGTGAGCCAGTCCGGCCCTGTTTATGACCCTCTGCAAGAATGTGGTCTATTTTCTATCAAACCTGTGTCTTATCTGCACTCATGTCACTTTAACCCCTGTATCACAACTCAACTTTGAATTCTATGTGTCGTCTTGCTCAGAAATGCTTAAGACTTGAGAAAGGGAGGTTCTACCAAAAGCTTGTCATTAAAAAAATTCTGTTAGTCCAATAAAAAAGGTATTACAAGATATGAATTGCATCAGTTTTTTTTACATCTACATCACTGGACTAATACGGTTACAATCTCTACTCCGTAAACAAACAAAGACATAGACATCACATACCAATTTGTATCTTGATGAATCAGACCAAGATACAAAGGAAAAAAAATAAAAATAAAAAATACAAAATTAGAGTAGCCAATTATGACGAGTGACTTAAGGTAATACTGCTAATTTATACGTTGCAAGAAAGGAGATAATGAAGTGAAATTGGGTTACTGAAAATCCCTGCACAGCACAAACCTTTCCACCTCCCTAAATTGAGGAAGGCTCAAAAGCATAGAAACATGATAAATAACAATTTATTTTTTTTTTTTTTTTAAAGCATAGAAACATAGAATGTGATGGAAGATAAGAACCATTTGGCCCATCTAGTCTGCCCAATTTTCTAAATACTTTCATTAGTCCCTGGCCTTATCTTATAGTTAGGATAGCTTTATGCCTGTCCCACGCATGCTTAAACTCCTTTACTGTATTAACCTCTACCCCTTCAGCTGGAATTCTATTCCAGGCATCCACTACCCTCTCAGTAAAGTAATACTTCCTGATATTATGTTTAAACCTTTGTCCCTCTAATTTAAGACTTTGTCCTCTTGTTGTGGTAGTTTTTCTTCTTTTAAATATAGTCTCCTCCTTCACTGTGTTGATTCCCTTTATATATTTAAATGTTTCTATCATATCCCCCCTGTCTCGTCTTTCCTCCAAGCTATACATATTAAGATCCTTTAACCTTTCCTGGTAAGTTTTATCCGCAATCCATGAACCAGTTTAGTAGCCCTTCTCTGAACCCTCTCTAAGGTATCAATATCCTTCTGAAGATACGGTCTCCAGTACTGTGTACAATACTCCAAGTGAGGTCTCACCAGTGTTCTGTACAATGGCATGAGCACTTCCCTCTTTCTACTGCTAATACCTCTCCCTATACAACCAAGCATTCTACTAGCATTTCCTGCTGCTCTATTACATTGGCTGCCTACCTTTAAGTCATCAGAAATAATCACCCCTAAATCCCTTTCCTCAGATGTTGAGGTTAGGACTGCATATTCACATCCTGCCATTAACAGTCCTTTAATGTTTTAGCTCGACTGAACATTGGCAGTTTTTTTTCCAGTTTCTAAACTCTCCTTTCCCCATTTGAATATTTCTTCTATACCAGTGTTTTCTTACCCACTTTTTCTACATGATTTTCAGAAAAAAACTAAACAAAAGAAATAAAACTGATTTAAAGTGTCTCTATGAGACTACTCCAGACTGGTGGAGTGCTTTATTATTTACTTAGTATTTGTAAAGTTGTCTAAAAGACAAATATTAAGAAAAGGAAAAGCTTTTCATAATTTTGGCATTTCAGATTTTAGTTGACAGCTCTCTAATCCTTCTAAGATTGCCATAAGGATATCAAAAAAGAGCTATCCCTCTTCTTTTATTACCTAGCGGCACAACTAACGCAGATAGCCATCTGGCACTCCGCTCCTGAGGAGAGGCGGTGGGTGGATATAGAATCTATGATGGTGGGGGTGGACGTCCCCCAGTTCACAATGTGGGTCCCCAGAGAATACAGACCGGAAATACGGATAACATGCCCAGCGATTCTCAATTCGATACGCATATGGGACATGTGTAACACCAAATATAAGCTGGCATCATCCCTTTCCCCTATGACCCCACTTCTTAGGAACAGAGAATTCCCCCCTGGTATGACCCCCAGGCACTTCCGCAACATCGAACGTGCTGGATTGCAACGGTTGCATCAGCTGTTTCATAATGGAGAGATCGTTCAGTTTGCGGACCTTCAATTGGGTAATCAAATGACTCCAGCGGATTTTTTCCGGTACATCCAAATACGAGACTTTGCCCAAAAACCAACCATTAAAAAGGCTGCAATGGAGACTCACACCTTCTACGAGAGAATATGTTCGGACGGGGTAACCCCCAAGGGGCTGATCACATTATTGTACGCACACCTCAGTGAAGAAAATGGAGAATGGGGAAGACTAACGTATACTGTCCAATGGGAGAATGACCTCGGTGATACCTTGGAGGGGATGGAGTGGCGAGAGATTTGGGAGGCAAATGCTAAGGTTTCAATGTGTGTCACCCTACAGGAACAGGCGTGGAAAACTATGTTCCGATGGTATACCACCCCAATTCAATTACATAGGATGCACAAACTAGACACGGATGATTGCTGGAGGGGTTGCGGAGACCAAGGGACGTATTTACACATGTGGTGGCAATGCTCAAAGATACGCGGATTCTGGAAGTCTGTGGAAGATTTATTGAAGCAGATATTTGATAAGCCTCTGAGGATAGACCCCTGGACCTACTTATTAAATAGATCTGTGGACGGATGGACCGCTCGGGAACAGAAATTAGTACACAAGATTACTTTGTGTGCGCGTCGAGCGATAGCGACAGCATGGCTCACTTCAGAGGGCCCGGATTTCGCAGAGGTTATCTCCAGAATTAAAGAATGTAGAATTATGGATGATTTGACAGCAAGGGTGAGAGGGACCGCCGTAACATTCCAAAAACTCTGGGAACCATGGGACAATAGCGTATTTGGATCGAGTGGAGATTGAAGGCATACCCCAGCGGGTGCTGACCACAACGATATACCACCGGATAGGGTGCTGCTGCCAGCGGAGAGATGGTAGGCCCGCCGTTTCCCCCCCAGTCCCCTCTTTTTCCTTTTCAGCCTGGACTAGGCACTTCTCATTTTCTCTCTAAACCTTTTTACTTCCTCTTTTTCTTCCTTTTTCTCTCTTATTTCATCGTTTCATGTGATTTGTTTTTTCAGGCTAGATCAAATGATTGGAGGAACAAGGTAACACACTTAGGAAGTTGATCAGCATATATGATGGCTACTTAACTTTTGCAGATTAGCCTGTACCTTTACCTACCATAAGTTTCCCCGACAAACGGAGAGAGCCAAAACTAAGTTACAATTACAGGCAAACGATAACCACAACGACTACCTTTCTCTTATATTAAATTGTAATTTAATAGGCCTCTATATTAGCCCGAAAGTGACCGTATAACTGTCGAATTGCCTGATCATTGATGTATATCCTAGAAGGGGGTAATTAAAAAATTTAAAAACACCTCGATAGACGGCAGGTGCCAGTGGATTCAGTAAATGACGGAGCACACATTGTTTTGTTTTGTTTTTGTTGTTTGCTTTTTGTGTTTTATTTTCTTGGCAAACTTTGCAATGATCCCAAAATGCTGAACATGTTGGCTTCTGCGTAAGCCTGAAAGTTGATGTACACTTGCTGATTCTATTGAGTAAAAATAAAGAATTTAAAAAAAAAAAAAAAGAGCTATCTACTAAAGATCTCTCTAATTTCTGCTAAACAGCTCTCTAATGCGGTACCCTTAAATATGGCAATACCACAAAGCTACAAAATTAGGGAGATATCTACTAAATGGATGCAAGATTCAGTTGTGGATCATGGCACGGATCAGAATTTCATTTGTCTAAATGAAATTCTGAAACGAAAACATCCGAATTTATTCAGTAACAAAAGGCCGAAGTGTATTTGGACAAATGGAAAATCTAGATGGTACCCAAGTCTAGAACATTCTCATATATGAAAATAAAATGGTTTACATATCAATTTTTTTGCATTCCAAACTACAAATATTTTGAGACTGTTAAAATGTTGAAAAAAAAAATAAACAAACACACACAAAGCATTCTTACCTCCTCCCCATAGATCATAAAATTTTGTATCAATTAGTGCACCTGTTTTTCCTGGAAAAGATACATAGTTTAATTTAATTATTTTTACGTTTTCAACATACAGGAGTAGTGATGTCCCTAACTGTTCGCCGAACGGTTCGCGAACAGTTCGCCACGAACGGTTCACCGCGGACTCCAGTCAGCTGACACATTCCAGCCAATCAGCAGCAGACCCTCCCTCCCACCTCCTGGACAGCATCCATTTTGAAGCTGCATTCTTAGTGAGCTGTCCAGGAGGTGGGAGGGTATGGGAGGGAGGGTCTGCTGCTGATTGGCTGGAATGTGTCAGATGACTGGAGTCCGCGCGGACCGTTCGCGGCGAACCGTTCTGGACATCACTATACAGGAGCACAAAGTATGCAACATTATCATCAACGGTGGACTGAATATGAAATCGTTAATTGAATTGTAAATGTTCAGTGAAACAATTCCATTTAAACAATATTTATTTTGGGTTACAACAACTCTTAAATGCTGAGGAATGTTACATCTTAATGAAGCAAACACAAATTTATATGGATTTCACTGGCAAAGGATTATTCACTAAAGTGAAAATTGCCTGGAATTTAAAATACATTTTAATTCTAAATTCAAGTTAGTCAAAATTTTAAAAGATTATCCTAGTCCACGATGCTTGCAGTTCGTATACTGTGGTCTTAAATCTCAAATTCAATTTGAATGCCCGACAAATCTCTTTTTAGTAAATAAGCTTAAAGGACCGCTATAGTGCCAGGAAAATATACTTGTTTTCCTGGCACTATAGTGCCCTGAGGGTGCCCCCACCCTCATGGTCCCACTCCCGCCGGGCTGGATGGCAAGGAAAGGGGTTACACTTACCTTTTTTCCAGCGCTGGGCGGGGAGCTCTCCTCTCCGCCTCCGATCCTCCTCTTCGGCTGAATGCGCATGCGCAGCAGGAGCTGCGCGCGCATTCAGCCTGTCTCATAGGAAAGCATTCATAATGCTTTCCTATGGACGCTGGCGTCTTCTCACTGTGATTTTCATAGTGAGAAGCACGCAAACGCCTCTAGCGGCTGTCAATGAGACAGCCACTAGAGGCTTTAGAGGCTGGATTAACCCTATTATAAACATAGCAGTTTCTCTGAAACTGCTATGTTTATATAAAAAAAAGGGTTAATCCTAGAGGGACCTGGCACCCAGATCACTTCATTAAGCTTAAGTGGTCTGGGTGCCTAGAGTGGTCCTTTAAGTGTGACAAAGGGAAATGAGTTCTAGTGATGTCTGCATATGCAAACCTAGCCATAGCATGTCCTCCATCTACAGCAAGATGGTCATAGAACTAAATGTAAAAACGTGAATGCAAGCAGCATAATCATGGGAGACAAGCAATGCTGTCTAAAGGTTCCGTACATCTTTGTTCCAATTAGAAAGCCACGTAAATATATAACGCTAACAATTACACTCTGCTGATATACGACAAACAGCATAATTAACAGTTGATAACAGTAGGGAACTCCAAAGGTTAGGCCAATAATGTCAACAAAGCTCCATGTCAAACATCTTGGTCTGCAGTTTTCAGCATCCCAGTCAAATAAAAAAAAATAGTAAACAGTCAATAAGATGGTTTTAGAATTCTATACACTTCATTCCACACAGGATACTTTCAGAATATTGAGAAATAAATAAACACCATGCAAACATTATGAAAACTACAAAGCCAAAATGTGCTTTAATTAGATTGTCTATTCAAAGGTCTTCTAATTAGCCATTTTAACGTACCATTTACTAAAGCAGTGTTAATACCACGTCCCACATTGTTCTTCACTCCACTCATTAAACTGCAAGGAGAAAAAAAAAATATATAGAAGATTTCAGTTAGTTGAGCTAAAATTCATAATTTAAGAGAGAAATACTTGCTAAATGGGAAATTCAAAGATAAAAGGTTTCAAATGGGATACATGTTTCTCTTTCAGTAGGATTAGCAAAGAGGCTGCAACCCTAAAAAATGGATGATGTGATGATTACGCACAATGCATTGTCTTAGTATGGTCTGTTTTATATATGGCTGCAACCATTAGGAAAAAAAAAATTCAGCCCTTGGTATAGGGAAGCCAACATACAGGCTTATGGATTCAGGAAATGCACTTAAAATCATGTAGAGAATATACTGGCAGACTTGAATAGCAAAGTTACAATATATACCACTAAGTGGCGCCACAGCTTGCCTTTTCCATGAAGCCACAATACTTAGAAAGGCCCCTTCCCAAAAGGTTCTCGGTTTAAACTAGACTAATACTTGGTGTTTTCTAATAGCAAATAAAATGCTAGGCTTTACAATCTACACAAATGTCTGCATGATTGCATGAGCATAACCAGTCTTGCTGTGTGAACACAATGTACAAATAACTTGTTACGAACATAAAGTACTCATCTAGCAATCCAAATATTTTTGGACTGTTCATGAAGGAAGGATCCCTGTTCAACAGGACCACATAAATAGTAAAAACGTAAAAAGAATCCTGAGCACTCTGCACATAAAGTATGTGGTTTATTCAGCCAAAGTGAGCAGCAACGATCCAACATTTTTAGTGTCGATCACGTTTGTACGCTACATGGTCAACATGGTAAACGCCAGACTAAACGGGGATAAAAAGGAAAACAAATTGATTGGTTGTACGTCATAATCGCGACATCTTTAAACTATGCAGTCAACAATGTGAAGCATAAAAGTGGGACTGAGAGTGTTAGGACTGGAGGTGGCTTGCCAGTGACGTGCCAGGGGCGGACCCTACCCTTTCCTAAGCAATCCGGAAGAGCCTAAAAAGTTACACACTATACTTTCAGGGATAAGTGTTCCTTAAGAATAAATCACTCTGCTGTAAAATGCTAAAAGAAATAATATGTGGAAATAAGCATAGCAAAGAAAATAATGCAACTGTTAAACTGAAATGCAATGAGAGATAAAATACGTACACATTGTCGTTCACACAGATCTTTGGTCCAACCACGTTAGCGGCTCCACTTGCCATCTTAAAGGCAAAGTGCTTATCTGGACATATCTTTGAAATCCCACATTTGTACTTTGGAGCTTTAGTAACTGCAAACAGAAAAAATGTATTAAAGAACACCTGAGGCAACTCTGAAAAGTCATTTGTTCAAAATCAATTTTGGAAACACAAAGTACGTTAAAAAAATAAATTTAAAAAAAAAAGGGAGAAAACAAGTTTCAGGCAGATTTTATCCTGAGAGTCTCAGCCCGAGCATCCAACATGCAGAAGAACTGAATCCAACTAGACAAGAAAGCATTGCAACCAAAGAGAAGACTATAATTAACACTTAATCTATAAGGACCTATTACAATGTAATAGGTTAGCATTGGAGGCTATACCCATACGTACAGCCTGAAATCTAGTCTTGATAATTAGAAAGCCACTTTGAATCTACGATAAGGCAGATGGCCTCTGTGAACCCAAGCAATGACTTCTCTTTGTACATACCCTGCAAAGCTCTAACAATTCACAGGTTCTAGTAAAAAACAATTATTGCAGCCACAAGGTGCTGTCCTGAAAGGGCAACAAGCATAACTGAACAAAGACAATAGTTCTGCACAGAACACAGAATCTTTTATTTAATTAAATGCTTTATGCAGCAAATACAATAAGGCTGGGAGAATGACATCCAAGCATCGAGGGGAGGTAGATACTAATAATGACACATTCTGACGTAATACAGCAGACTCAGTTATAATATTTTCAGCTAATTCCCTAACAATTAAATGTTGTATGCAAAATAAAAAAAATAAAAAAAAATAGGGTCCATTTATGGTGATTTTGCAACACAGACGTGGAGGAAGTCTTGTCAGCTGCATCCTCAAAATGCCAATGGTTTCTCTCTTGTTTCTCAGTTTATATAAAAATGTTTCATAACTACGATCATGTGATTGCTGTGACTTGTCACCCACGTATCCTTTCAAAACGGTCACACAAATATTTCCTGATATACAACTGCACCGCTCCACTTAATATTCTGCCTGCAAACCCGTAATAGAACACTTGTAAGTGATGACACGAGTAGAACGAATTAGCACACGTATTCAAATTCAGTTTGCAATAGAACCTTTTGAAGGAAAATTCATACTTCTCATATACTTACCGGGATGGACTGCAGTCTCCACTGCTGACCGGCCTATAAGAAAAAAAAAAAAAAAAACCAATTATTAAAATACCTAATAGAACAAGATCATACACGTAATACAATGTAAACAGGAGTTTGAACCAGTTTGTAATTTAGCAATTCAGGCATCTCAAACCCTACGCCCTTTAGATGTTTCTGAACTACAACTCCCATGATTCAGTGGCCATCTATTGCAACTAAACCATTGTGGGGAAAAAAAAAAAGACAAAAAGGATAAGCAAACACATTATAGCACCTTTATGAACAGAAAATAGAAGTGACTGGGTCATACACTCACTGACTAAATTTGCCACTGATTTATTGTTATTATTTTAAAAAGCGCCAACAAGTTCTGTAGCGCTGTACAATGGGTGGAATAACAGATACGTATTTGTAACCATACAAGTTTGACGGCCCTGCTCAATGAGCTTCCATGCTAGAGGGAGTGGGGTATAATGACACAAAAAGGTAAGGGTAGGGTAGAAAATTAGGTTGCTAGGATAGTATTCATTAAGGGCTTAGTGTTTTGTTTTGATGACAGTTTCAGGAGAGGAATCAGGGTGTGGGGGGAGAGATTTATATTTTATTAGGAATCTATGCATGAGACAGGAAACATTTTTCCTTCCCCTGAATTTTCAGTGCACAATCATCATGAACGGTTTCTGGTCAGTTCCTGGAAATTCATGGTTTAGGGCAGGGTAGACAACCTTTGGCACACCAGATGCTGTGGACTACATTTCCTATAGTACTCTTACAGTCTTAATACTGGCAAAGTATCATGGAAGATGTAGTCTGCAACACCTGGTGTGCTGCAGGTTGCCTACCCCAGATTAAGGGAATATCCATCATAATAATGAATGATTATTAGATCTGGGGGATGTTTTCCTCTATAAAACAAATACTGGAGCAAATTACGGAGGAAAACCATAAGATCGTGCTTTTGTGCATAACAATTCACTAACATTTTACATATTACAATTTACTGTTGACAAACAAAATATTGGACACAGTCACCTTGCTACACTGGTACAAAAAAAATGTATCACTGGTGAAAAAAAAAAAAAAAGGTTGAAAGCAGTAAGAATGTAAATACTAAAGAGAGATGAAATAAATAGATGGTAGGGATCTCTGTTTTCTCACCAAAAATGTTGCTGAGACTTGAATCCATCTTTACTTCAAAAACTTGTGATATGACATAAAACGCCACCAAAAATACTGCAAGAGCCACAACAAACTTAATTGCACCTAAAATAAAAAAAAAGTCAGGAGCATTATGGCCTCAATCACAATCTATTGTTAGATAATTATTTGTACATTAACTGCAGTTGAGATGTTGACATGACCTTAATGGACACTATAGTAACCAGAAGAGCTACATTAAGGTTTTGGGGTCTGTAGCATGTCCCTGCAGGCTGAGCACTGTAAATACTGCTTTTTTTAGAGAAAATACAGTGTTTACATTACTGCCTAGTAACACTTCCAGTGGCAGATGGCAACTAGAGGTGCTTCCTGGGTCAGTGCTGCACTGATGTTCAGCATCTCCATGCTCTGCATGGAGGCGCTGAACGTTCCCCCATAGAGATGCATTGATTCAAGGAGATGCTGAATGGAGCAGTGCAGCATTTTGCCACGCATGTGCAATAGCCTCCCAATGCTTTCCTATGAAAAAGTATTGGGTTGCAGAGGTAATCAAAACTGATGATCCCATCTATGGAGGTGGGACCAGCTGCTGCAAGACTGGATTGACGTGGGAGAAAGGCTAGCAAAGTCACCTTAATCTCCAGAGAGAAGGGAGCCAGTGACCCAATTCTGCATTCCAGCACTATATAGTGTTCTTTTAAAAACACACCAGTTTAATAATTTGAAACCACAAGTTTCCCCATTACCAGTGAAACAAAATGAGCCCTGTATCTTAGCGCTCTGGAACTTCCCAATTAGTGGCGGAGAGAGGCAGCAACTAGCGGATCACAGGTAAGAAGAAGGTTAGCCTACAACTCAAAAAAGTTAAATTTTTACACAGCTCGTCAAATTTGGCAACTTGTTTTTGGATAAATCTTATACAGAACTTCCTGTTTGTACTTCATTTACTTTAAATTAAATAATCACTGTTAACCTAATAACTGGGCAAATTTGATACCTCAAAAAATACACACGTAAAGTATACCTAAAATCACCCACCTTGAACACACTGAATGGAACACATATCAATGCTTTAGATAAAACAGGTTAATGGCACATGTCACCTATTACCACTACTATGATATAACCTCAAAGCTTGCAAAAACTGCCATTTATTATTTTTATAACTTTTTTGCTCTCCTCACAGTCTCAGCATAATAATAAAACCCACTATTTTGCACATGCTAACTTTTATCTATTTAACTATTATTTTTTTCACTGAGAAGAATTGGCTATATCCACTTTAAATTGTCTATTGCTGGAAACTATCAGCTTAACATATGACATACTCTATAACAGTATTTTTAAAGAACCCTGCAGGTTGGGAGCAGAATTTAAAAAATACTCAGCATAATCAAATGTAACCTAACCATTGCATTTTAGGTGGGTCCCTAAACCATTCCTTTAACATATCCATTTTCTTATAACATTGCCCACAATTGTGCCTCTCAGTAGTGGACAAAATCAGATTAAGTCTTCTAAATCCAGTGAGAATGCAGACCATTGTTTTATGAAAATGTAAAGAGGATACATATATATATATATATATATATATATATATATATATATATATGAGATTTGGAAACATACCGGTTATCCTCATGTTTTCAGATTGATTGCTCAAATGTTCAAATTACTCTGTAAAGGTAAAAACAGATTGTTATAAAGAAACTCAACACAACTAATCCACCCCCTTTCTGAGCAGATATAGGTTTCATATAATAACAGTCCCGTGTATGTAAAGCAGCCCATGTACTCACTGCCTTCAGGCTCCAAGGTACAGTCAATATCAGAATTATTACAAACATTAAAAAAACAAAAACTGAGTCATACATAAAATCAAATGGCTTTATTTGCCCCCTTAGTACGAAATGCGTAGACTTTTGCTGTCCAAGGATTTCATCTACCATGAGATGGAGCCTGTATTTTGGATGCAGAAATAGCTGTATTTTTTATTTTTATGGTCCCTTTGGGGGTGTATAAAGCAACTCGATTTTATGTGTTACTTTCGTTTCATTTTCTAATGTTTCAATGCACAGAACAGGCAGAATTGGAACATTTTCCTTAGGAAATTTTCTATGAAAAGAGTCTCAACATTTTTAGCATTAAACATAGTTCAACAAATGCATGTAACAGTAACAAAATTGCACTTTTAAGTTTGATTTGTCAATGTGTGCAATATCTATCACACACAAAACACACACCCTCTCGCTCACCTTATGGAAACTGCAAAACAAAATAGATGAGACAAAAGGAATATTCACAAAATAATGAATATTGTGAACAGAAAATCGAATCCTCCAATCCTGATTGAGCAACAGGTTGGTTAAAATAGCTTAAAGTTGGCAGTTTTATTTTCATTATTGTTTGCCATGTATTAAATACACCCTGTGATATGGACCATGTTGCATTGTCTTCAGATTCTAACCTATTCCATGATATGGGAGAAGACATCTCATGTGTTGTTGGTGGTGGTGGGGGTTCGGGGAGGGGGGGAAAAGAAGAGGATCCTGCTCTGTCTCTTTCTGGATGCCACTTTGTACTAATTACATTTAATTATAGCATGTCACCAGAGAAATGTGCTATAATTTCCTGTACATGGGACATTACTGTACTTTCAATATGCTTACCGAACAGTCAATGCAAAAATATGGCTAAGAAACTGATATTCTTGACCAAGATCAGTAGTTCGGTAGGATTTTGCATGCACATCTGGCCTGTAACATGAAGTGCTGTGTTCAGTATAAAGAGAAAAACACAGCGGTCTTGGTTTGCCTAAAGACAGTCTATTATTATTATTATTATTATTATTATTAATATTATTGCCATTTATGGAGCGCCAACAGATTCCGTAGCACTTTACAATATTATAAGAGTGGGGGGGGATTTAACTATAAATAGGACAATTACAAGAAAATTTACAGGAACGATAGGTTGAAGAGGACCCTGCTCACACGAGCTTACAGTCTATAGGAGCCTACTAAGTAAAGTCACCAGCAGAATTGAAAAATAGCGGACTAGCCATTTGGTCCTATATTTTGCAGTTCCTTAGTCAATTATTCTTCATAAATCTTAGTTTAATGAATACAATAGAAAACGTGTAACGGCAAACACTACCAAACATATACGACACCTGGTGTTATGAATTAGAAGGTGAAATATACAATAACATATACTTCACAATAGGTATCCACGGTAGGCAAGTAATACCACTCGTGGAAAGTGTCACAGGGTGCATTATACTGCTGAAAGAGGCCACTGCCATCAGGAAACGCATGTTTCATGGGGATGTGGCACTTACACAGCAATCTCTAGGCAAGTGGCACATGCCAAAGAAACATGTACAAGAATGCCAGAAGGCATGGTTTCCCAGCAGAACATTGCCCAGAGCATAACACCGCCTCTGCCAGCTTGACATCTGCCATACTACTGCCATCTCTTCTCCAGGTAAATGAATCACACGCACCGGGCCATCCACCTGATCTAAAATAAAATGTGATTCATCAGGCCACGCAACTATGTTCCATTGCTCCAGTTGTGATGCTCACATCCCCATTTAAGGTGCTTTCAGCAGTGGACAGGGGTCACAATGGGCATTCTGACCAGTCTGCTGCTACACAGTCGTTTACGCAGCAAACTACGATGCACTGTGTGTTCTGACACCATTACGTTTTTCAGTACAGTAGCTCTTCTATGTGATCAGACCAGACTGGTTAGCCTTTACTCCCCACATGCATTAATGAGCCTTGGGAGCTCATGATCCTGACGCCAGTTCACCAGTTGTCCATCCTTCCATCACTTTTGGTACATACTAATCACTGCATATCAGGGGCACCCCACAAGACTGGCTATTTCTGAGATGCTCTGACCCAGTTGTCTTGCCATCACTATTTGGCTCTTGTCAAAGTCATTCAGATGTTTTCGCGTGCCCATTTTTCCTGTTTCCAACACATGGAATTCAAGAACTGACTATTCACTTGTACCATTGTAACAACATAATCAATATTATTCACGGCACTTGTCAGTGGTTTCAATGTTGAGGGTGATCTGTTTAGAATGCGTTAATTAAAAAAGGGTAGTCTGGTCAGTATATGCATATAATGGGTCTATCACGCAGATAAAAGTGATGGAAAGAATAGAACGCGTACAAATGAAAACAAAATGCTCTCAGGTCCAGCTGCCCATCCAATCTGTACACCTACATGCAGACACAAACACAGCTTGCATGAGTGGGTTTTATGTCTGAATGTACTTTATTTTCATTCAATTTGTTTTTATTTCACTACTTATGGCAACATGTAATTGTGTGAGTGCTAATTTATATAAATAAGGTATCCTGGTATGAAGGACACCAACAGAAATCAGCTAAATTAAGCTTGCTCCACATTTCACTGCAACATTGTGACACCAGCAAATGCTGAAGATGAGAATGTGGACAGCCACATGAGTGATGTGTACTGTTAATACCCTTCTTAACTGAACATTTTCGGGGGATGCTTGTAATAGAAGCTCTACCCTGAAAATAAGCCCTAGTCGCCAATTCATTAATATATGTTCAGGGAATTTTCCCTGAACACAGATTTGTGGGATTCCATTTGCGAGTAAACAAATTTAGGTTCGGGAAAGTTTCTCCAATCATAGATTTGCAGGATTCCATGTCCTAGTGATTTGGCCTATGTTCGGGGGACTTGCTTTCGAGCACATGCTTGCTACCGTTTTCCAATGAAATAAGACATCCCCCGAAAAAAAGCCCTAGTGCATTTTTTTGGGGGGAAAATTAATATAAGACCTTGTCTTGTTATCGGGGAAAGACAGTGGTTTAGGGATGGGAGGATGGTCTTCCTTCTTGATGCTTTAATCAACTATGGAAAAGGCAAGCGTTTAAAACACCAAGGGGACCTGTAGATGGCAGACAAGCTTGGACGCCTCTTCAGCTCAAAAACTGTAATAGACTAAATTCAATAATTTAATAGAAATATTAATGGATTCTGGTCTGAACTGACTCAACAGCATCACATGGTTTCTACAGATTTTTCAGTCACGACTTTATTCTATGAACCACTAAATCCATTGTGCCCGCAAACTTTCCCACTGCAGGACTGTGCAGACCACTGGCCAAGGCTGAAATCCCTGTCATGTTCACTGAATCAAAGACACGTGCAAGCAGATCAGTTATGAAAATAAAGCATTTCAGTTTTTGCACAGAGGATTCTGTACTTTGGTTTTTTTTGGGGGGGGGAGGGTGGTCAGAAAATGTGTCTTTCAGCCCCCGAACAAAAACAAACACTGAAATGTAAGGTTTTTCTGAAAGAAAGTTGGTATGAGAATATTTATGTGTTGGCAGCTAAGGCTCTGAGTGCAGAGGATTTATGGGTGGTTAGTGTGGAAACCGCAAGGAGGAACAACACAAAACAAAAAAAAAAAATACAAAAACTATATTCTTTAAGATACTTTCCACTCAGTCAGCCATTACCTCATTTGGAAAGCACACATCCTTTCAGTATTATTTCTTAAAATATCATCCAGTATTTCTCAAACGTTACACTATAATTGGTCTACACACATACTTTACTAACAACAAACAATGCCCATATATACACAAACACACACGTTATAGTCACAAATACATATGCTGGTCTGCCGGAGACTAGGACTCCCAGACTGTACGGAGGTGACCTGTGTATTATTCCCCATTCATTATAACAAATAATTGCACAGTACGATAATCCCAACCATACAGAATGGAAATCTAAAATATTACCATACAAAATAATAAATACCAGGCAAAAAAAGAAAGGAAAAGCAATTGTAAAGGATTGAAGTATCACACATTGCCATGTCTATTTGTTGTGGAATAATTGTGGTTCTTTAGCAACAGAAAGATGTACCTTCAAAACCACATCTCTGCAAAAATTTTGCCCAAAAGCTAGTGAAAGCTACGGACATTTTCACTTTTACTGGTCTGATTTATCTGGGAACAGATATCACATTACTGATATTTTAGATAAAAAATTGGTGTTTTACCTAAACAGATATAGGTTCCAGTAGATCAACCAACAACTTCAAAATAATTCAGTAAAGAGAGACATTTAAGGCTTGTATCAGCCTTTATTCAGAACGCAGTGTGAAGATCTGACTTTCCCTTGTTAGCTGCAAACCTGCATTTTCTCCAGAAATCAGGAGGCCATCTAGATTTATAGGACAACACTGCCCTTACCATTGTACCCAGTATGGAATTTGCATGCAGATTCCATAAACTGTTACAAATCAGGAGTCTTAGAGATGTATACATCCAGGCTTAGATTTCCAAGTCAGACTACTAGCAAGGCCTTGAAAGTCACCCATTACTGCAAGCCTGGATAGTCCATGGGATACCCAGCATGGTTAACTTTTCTTTTGCCAAATGCTAATGAATATTTTGACCTCTGTACACTGCATACAACACTTGGCAGTTTTATTCATGAAAGTGCATAAACCAAAATATTGGCTAAATGCAAAAGGCAGTACTACATTTCGAAGAATAAACACAACAGTAATGCCTAGCAGTGTTGGCACCATGTCTGAATACACTTTTACCATAAAACGAACACCAACAATAGTTACGTGGGCACAGCAGAAACAGAAAAAGCATAGAACAGTTCATTCACTATACCACTCCATGCATAAGTGTTTGTATTACTAATAAATTCTCCTCCTCTCTCTCCTAACGCTCTTTCAGGGTCTCATTTTCCAATGACACCTCCTCTCCCTGTCCTGTCTCAGTCAGAGTCCCTCAAGGTTCAGTTCTTGGTCCCCTTTTGTTCTCTCTCTCTATACTGCCTCTCTTGGCAAACTCATTAATTCAGTTGGATTCCACTACCACCGGACGCTGACGACACCCAGATATACCTCTCCTCCCGTGACCTCTCCTCTGCTGTCTTGCAACATATCACGAATTGCCTTTCTTCTATCTCTGACTGGATGTCGTCCCGTTTTCTGAAATTCAATCTCTCTAAAATGCAGTTTCTTATCTGTCCTCCTCATAACAATGATCCTCCTCCTTCACTCTCCCTGCAAGTTGATGGTACCTGCCTCACCCCATCCTTTCAAGTTCGCTGTCTTGGTGTCATTTTTTTTAATTATTATTATGTTTTTTATTATTTATTTTTTTAATTCTTTAATTTTTCTATGCTCAGTTGTATATGAGAGTTACATTCAGCATTTCATGAGATCGTTAGTTTGCAAGTATTCGGCGGTAGCGAGTATTCCCTTAGCATTTGGGGTTAGTGTCAAGATATACAGTGCAATGTGTTTGGCAAGCACTTATTTTATTTTGACCATGTTTGGGTACAAACCCGGGGCTAGCTAGATTTCTGCAGTCTAGTGATTGGTGTGTGTTGCGCTCATCGTGGTACTACAGGCGTGGGGTGTGAAGTATGCTCCTTTGTGTTGCATGAGGCTGCAGTGCTGCGTAGGAGCCTGTCTTGGTGTCATTTTTGATCCTGGCTACACCTTTGCACCTCATGTCCAACCTGTTGTCAAGACCTGTCGATTCCACCTTAAAAACATTGTCCGCATACGCCCCTTTCTTACCTAATTGGTCTCCCCAGAAGCCATACTGCCCCCTACAATCTGTGATGAATGCTGCTGCCAGGCTGATCTTTCTCTCCTGTCGCTCCTCTGACACCTCAACCCTCTGTCGATCCTTACACTGGCTTCCTGTATCCTAAAGGTGTCAATTTAAAATACTAACCTTTACCTATAAAGCCCTAACCAACTCTAGCCCCTCTTACATTTCTTCACTGATTCATAGGTATGCCCCCTCTCGGTCTCTCCGCTCTACTGGTGACCTTCTCCTGTTTGGTGATCACGCCCTTAATGCAAATTCACGCCTGCAAGACTTCTCACGGGTGCCTCCTTTCCTTTGGAACAGCTTGCCTACCCCTGTCAGACTCTCCCCTAGTCTTCAATCCTTTAAGAAGTCCCTTAAAACCCATCTTTTCAGGATTGCTTATGGCCTCCAAGAGTAACTTCTATCTCTCAAACCTTCCTCTCGCTCTCTCCTAAAAATGCCACACTGCCCTTTCACCTCCAGTTCTGCTACTTTCCCACCATGTCTTTTTGCTGTCTCTCTTAGCAAAAAGACATTGGGTTTTTATACCCCACCTGTAAGCTCATTTGAACAGGGTCCTCAACTACCTATTGTTCCTGTTACACTTTGTTATTGTCTCATTTGGTAAATTCCCCTTTTATTATAAAGCGCTGTGGAATAAGCTGGCGCTATATAAATACCAATAAAGAGCCCTCCTTTTGGCATTCACAAGTCACTCCTCTCACTATTAGCGGGGACTTGTCCCTAGTCATTCTACCACTGAATGCATGCAGACTTCAATATGAAGATGTGCCGGGTGTATGAGTAAGGCAATTGTGATAAGGGAGGAGTAATAGCACCTAGTGGTCCTTTAATTATACATTGATTGTTATTGTAAATTTCCCTGTAACAGTTAACCCACTGAAGAGCTACGATTAATATTCTCCTTGAGTAAATTCCCCTGGTCGTTTTTGATAAAATATGGATTCTCAGACATTTGTTACAGGCATCACCAGCAGCTTTACAGGCTTCAAGCACCACAACCACATGCTTTCTGGGGACGCACAGCTGTAATATCAACACGCACAGACATAGTATTTTTGGACTTACTGCATTCAGATATTTTTATTTTGGGGCTATTTCACTCTCATTTTTGTGCGTCGCTTTGATGGATAATCATTCCGGAGTGTTAGGACAATATTACCAAGTAGCTGCGGGTTTATTTACGTGTTTATGACTGCTTGTGCATTTTACACTAGTTATCCTAGTTGAGATTTTTGTATTTTAATTTAATTTTACGGATTAAAATAGTGCTGTAGTGTTTATGACGCACATCTAGTTCCTAATGATGTATTTTGGTCTTCACTAAAACCTAGTGCTAAATGCTTTGATTGTTCATATCACTTTTCTTATCTATTTATACAATACATTTACAATATTCCTTTATACCTGCACTTCCATACCTTTCTTAGTTGCAAATGGACCGATGTCTACAACTCCTCGTACAAGAAAGAGATTCAGAACTCTGTGTTCATCTGGTCTATTTTCTGCAAAAATGATTCTCAAACAGCTTCTGACCTCAGAGTTCCATTTACATTCATTCAGTGTAACGCTTGCCACAGCAGGGTTGCAGCATTGAGGCAGATACAGACTTAAAAAAAAAACCAAAAACCTCTCGACACCTTTTATTATGTAAGCCAGCAAACAAATTAAATCTGCTTCAAGTTTAAAGGAAAATGTCAAATTACGCCCCAGTCTATGGCACACTTACCACTGGCGAAACTCCAATGTTTGCCGTGTATGAATAAATAATCTATATTTTCACAGCAACTAAGCCGTAAATTACTCCTAAGGTACATTAATATCTGCCTATGTAAATAATAAATTTTGGATGTCTTGCAAATTACTTGTCAAGTTATATAATGTTATTAGTAGGAAATGCAGTTATAAAACACACAAAAAAAAAAAAATAGCAAAGGGTGGCATAGGGGCCCAAACTCATGACTGCTCTAACAGACTAGGAATGATTGGCAAATATGCTTTAGACATAGGATTTTCGTGTGTCTTACTTAAATAAATAAAAAAATAAACCAAAATGGAAACATTTTTTAGAAGTCTGTAACCCCACATATCGCGGACATTACCAAGCATGACCATTCCATTTCGCAGCCCTTAACTGATCCGTAACAAATTCACAAGATACTTTATTAAAACTTTTAGCAAGCATCGCAAAAATAAAATAAATCAATAGCAATTATTTTTAAGTGAAATACCAAGTAACACTTGCCGGAATGATAAAAGTGGTTTCTGATGAACTTGTCAGAAGAAGATCAAATACGGAAAAAGATGGTCACTTCAGCAGCTAAACCGGCAGCAAAAGAGAAAATAAAAATCCTGCATCAATGTAGCTGAAAGAATACACACAGCTAGTCACACTCACACATACCTGTTGGAAGGCAGGACTGTTACTATCCAGGATCTTAAATATGTTTATGGATCGACTATGTTTAAAGGAACACTATAGTCACCTAAACAACTTTTGCTTAATTAAGCAGCTATTCGTGTAGATCATGCTTCTCATGTTTCACTGCTCAATTCACTGCCATTTAGGAGTTAAATCACGTTGTTTGTTTATGCAGCCCTTGTCACACCTCCCCTGGCTCTGATTGACACAGCCTGTATTAAAAAATTTGGTTTCACTTTTAATCAGATGTAATTTACAAACAACTGTATCTCTTTCTCTGTAAATTGAACTTTAAAGAACCACTAGAGTGCCAGGAAAACATACTCGTTGTCCTGCCCCCACCCTCAGGGTCCCCCTCCCACCGGGCTGTGGGGAGAGGAAAGGGGTTAAAACTTACCTTTTTCCAGCGCCGGGCGGGGAGCTCTCTGCCTCCGATCCTCCTCCTCTCCTCCCATTCGGCTGAATGCGCACGCGCGGCAAGAGCTGCGCGCGCCTTCAGCCGGTCTCATAGGAAAGCATTTACAATGCTTTCCTATGGACGCTTGCGTGCTCTCACTGATTTTCACAGTGAAAATCACGCAAGCGCCTCTAGCGGCTGTCAATGAGACATCCACTAAAGGATTTGAGGGCTGTATTAACCTATTTATAAACATAGCAGTTTCTCTGAAACTGGACCTGGCACCCAGACCACTTCATTAAGCTGAAGTGGTCTGGGTGCCTAGAGTGGTCCTTTAATCACATATACAGGAGGCTCTTGCGGGGTCTAGCAAGCTATTAACATAGCAGGGGATAAGAAAATCTAAATTAAACAGAACTTGCAATAAAGAAAGCCTAAATAGGGCTCTCTTTACAGGAAGTGTTTATGGAAGGCTGTGCAAGTCACATGCAGGGAGGTATGACTAGGGTTTATAAACTAAGTGATTCAACTCCTAAATGGCAGAGAACTGAGCAGTAAGACTGCAGGGACATGATCTGTACACCAAAACTGCTTCATTAAGCTAAAGTTGTTTTGGTGACAATAGTGTCCCTTTAACAATATGTATCTGAAAGGTGTAAAATTAAAATTCATTTTAGAAACTCAAAACTCTCGTGGGATTTCCTGGAGACGATAATGTCACCCTGGAAATGAAAGAGCTTTGTAGGTAAGTGTATTTTACACTCACCTCCACTGCACTACTCAACCCACTAAGTGCTGCAACAATGTTACCCGAGGGAACGGCGAACGGTCACCATCAGGGAAGAGACAGTTACAGGTTTATTTAACGTGGAAGAAAAGAAAAAAAATAAAGTCTCCTACAACAAAAACACAGTTACAAAATGAGGCAAACCGCACTGGACATAGTCACATAAAGCGATTTTAGAACAATTACTATCTGAGGTCACAGAACATGAAACCAGTGTTCCTTGTAAAGAACAGGTGAGAGAAGAAAGTAACCACACATGCATGACAATGTCCACAACATAAGATAAGGTCACTAGTTCAGTCAACATACTCATTAAATCCTTTAATCGTAGTATGCAGAAAGTAAACTGCCATAGCACACAAAACAAAGGGGAGAATTGAAACTATGCATTATCCTAACAGAATTAGCAATTACATTTATTTTGTATATTTATAGAAGAAGATAAGCAGGGCCGGACTAGGAATAAAAAGCAGCCCTGGAATTTTTTTACACCAGCCCTAACATTAATTGTGCCAACTGTGACAGATATACAGGTGGAAAAACACAAAAGATTGAAAATTATTTACCCAACGTTTCATCCCCAAAACTTGAATAGTCATAGACTGATAGCTGCTGCATGTCTAAATTAAATTAATCTTTTTTTGTTTAGTCCTCAATCCTATGAGTGCACTCTGCGTTGGATATTGTTTGATAGCAGGGAATGAAAGACTGAGAGAAGGGCAGGGTTATCGACTAAACTAATAATTTTTGTGAATAAATTCAAAAAATTAGGCTACAATATTCAAGCTGTCACTATGGCGAAGTTTGGATTTTTCAAATCCGCTTTTTTCAAATTTTGGTCTAAATTACGCAATTTAGATTTTCACTTTCTAAAATGAGAAATTTAGTGAATAACCCTTTGAAAAATGTAAAACCCTTGTTACATTTATATACGTGTGTAATCTCCAAATGTGTATTATGTATGCATATGTCTATTAACATATGTGTATCATACTGATGTTTCCCATGTGATTGGAGGGAACACACACACACACACACTTACTGACCGACTCAGATTCACTCACAGACAGACACAAAGACAGACACTCAGACAACACTCCGACAGACACACACTCACAGACATACTCACAAACACACACACAAGTAATTAATCTTTTATTTAAATTTACCTTAAGAGAGTTGGAGAGAATATGCTTTCCCTGGGGTCCAGTAGCACTGCTGTCACCTCCCTACTCGGCTCCCTCTCACGCACTGTTTAGTGAGCCGGGGGCCAGAGTGACATCATAACCCAGCTCCGTGAATCACTGCAAGCTGCGCAAGGGAGCAGAGCAGGGAGATTACAGCTCCTTCGCCGTGGCACTAAGTCAGCCGCCCGCCTCCCTCTGCTCTGCATTACCCAGCTGCTCCGCATTACCCAGCTGCTCCCCTCGGTCAGCTGCCCACCTTTTCTACCACGGCTCTCCATGGACCAGCCACCAATCTCCCTCCCTCTGCAATAAAATGAGCTGGCTGCCCCCAGCAGCCTGCCTGCCTCAGTGATCCCAATGCCTGCCTCTGCTCTCAGGCAGCCGATCACCGTGGGGGCTGAACATATATTGGAAGGCGGGGCCTGAAGTTGTGGGAGGGGCTATGTCCCTTTAAAAGGGACTCCCCCCTCCTACCTAACTTACCTGCAGGTCCAGATGTTCTTTGGATTCAGTTGCAGCTCTCCTCCTGACAGTTTGGCCTTCTCCTGACGGCTCACCGGTTTGCTCGCTCCACCATACGCTCGGCCGCCCGTCACGATTGGTGTTCCCTCCTAGACACGTGAGTGAGCAGACGGGTATCATTGTACCCGTCTGCAGCTTGGTCATGGCCTGACCCGCTAGGGTCCACACTGGGGCACTGCAGACCCCCACGGTCCCAGGTCACGGAGGTCTGCGGTGCCCCAGCACGGCCATCACCAGCAGGCATGCAGGCTTGTCCCCTTGCGGCAGTTTGCCCCCAGTCACGGCATCAGGTGCAAGCAAAGGGGAGGGGGATTACTGGGGATTATTTTCTCCTACTGTTGTCCCGACAGCATGGTCCCCGGCCGCGGGTTCACGGTTGCCGCACATACCACAGACCTCCCACAAACTCCCACGGAGGTCTGCGGTATACCCCGCTGCGGCTCCACGGCACCAAAGGTTACATATACCGTGAGTACAGACGGGTACTTCGGTACACCGTCTGTACTATAAATTAAATACACTGTCTATGCTATGGCTTACCACTTCAACCTGACCATGGGTTAACCCCCCTGGGCACGGAGGGCAACATTACCGGCAACAGTAGCCGACATGCCAAGTCTTCACGGGGGAGGGGTTTACGGGGCACGTTCCCTCCAATGGCCGACGCCGGTCTATTCCGCCGGCTATGCGCCGCACAGCACAAGCTCCGCCTGCCTCATTAACACAGCAGAGGGGCAGGAGCAAGTAAGCAATACCAAGCTCACCACTCTCAGCCATCCCAGGCCTCATTGAGTGAGTGACACTACAGCAGGGAGAGGCAGACGTTTTCCAACATAGGGGTTCATTATGTAAGCATTATGGATATATGAGGTTATCTGTGTTAAGCTTCATTACTATATTTCATTATCATGGTTCTACTCTGTTATATACATGGATGTTCAACTTAAGTACAACACAACGCCACCTGGTGGCTTTTGTTACTCAGTACCGCTGTTAAAAGTCACTATATACATACGTGTGAATTCCATGTCTCTATATATGTACATATGGCTTAAACAACTGTTGGCACTACGGGTGGTATGGGTATTAAATTTCTAGGGCATGTTCAAGGATATGCTTATGCCTATATTTTGTCGTTTTGTCATACAGGTCTACTTTCGTGTTCATAGAACTAGTTAGAACGTTAAAAGTGGTTGCTTTAACTGATACGTGTATTTTTGTTTCAAGGACAGGTTCTTAAAGTCATATCCTGCCATTGGTACGTGCACGATATGTTTCAATCATACATTTCGTTACTCAGATTTAATACGGCAGGCAGGGCACAAGCTCTTAAACGTATACGGGGTAATATGGTACCGGGCAGACATTCACTATACTACCATAACTTATTCGAACATATGTTTCAGACTCAATACGCCAAGCTTAGACATAGAAACATAGAAGGTGACAGCAGATAAGAACCACTGGGCCCATCTAGTCTGCCAGATTTTCTTAAATGCTTTCATTTGCCCCTGGCCTTATCTTGTAGTTGGGAGGGCCTTATGCCTATCCCACACATGCTGGTACTCCTCTTTAGTGTTAACCTCTACCACGTCAGCGGGAAGGCTATTCCACACATCCACTACCCGGGATAAGAATTGGCTCATTAGAGCCTACAGTATAAGTGATCTACCAGAACAATTCTTACGTCATACAAGGTATTGGTAGGTGACCATAGTATACGCAAAAATACGATCGTGGAGGATTTTCAGCAGCAGCATCTCAGTATGAACTCATAAGTACCCAATGCCTCCCATTCTGTCATCCATAACCTGGTTTAGGCCTCCCCCTTAGCAGAATCTCAAACTACTGCAGAACAACGAGCATACATTGTTCATACAAGTACGTTGCTCACGATTTCTCAAACACTGTTTTAGTATAAAGATTCATTCCATAGAGGCGAGTTGGATGGCCACCTAGGGATTTCTCCCAGGCACCTCAAGCCTTAGAGATAGAGGTCTTGCGATGCCAACACCCATCCTCCACGATAGAGGTAATAGCGCCCCACGGGACGAATCATAGCTAGACGCCTCGCATGTTGCATAGCAAGGGAATCACTAGTCACACCCCCCCTCCGCAGATCAAAGACTCATCCCTTGTAAGCTCACATCCCTCAGATAATCCTCTCGCGCCAACCATAGGTAGAGTCAACCCAGCCACTTGGCGAATAGTAGGGACTCACCTGTCACTAGTCTAACGAATTGTTTCGCCACTTTGGCACTAGTTAAAAAACAACTGTATACACTCTCAAAAGAAACTCACCATTCTTGCTTGTATATTTCAGTATGTCCCTAGTTTCAGAAAAAGGAGAGGTAATTTCAGGTACAAGTACTCCAACTAGGACTGCAACTCCTACACGAAAAGGGGTCACAGGCAGTTCATCTTCAATTACAACGTGGACCATCCCACGAATCACGGCCGAATTACGCAGGGCAGCATACCCTTTCCAGCTACTGCCCGCAAAACAGAACCATTTAGGCAAATGCAGCCACACTAACAATTCAGACATAGGGGTAGGCACGAGCAATGCCAACCTGCATACCATGATCACCCCTGTAGTAACATCCAGGGGGCAGATCAAAAAATAGACTGGAAGCCCGTAGTGGTCCAGTCACAACACCAGAACCACTCGCAACCGATATTCCAGGCCCTTCCCAGTACCAACTCAGTAATACTAATACGCCCATCATCTTAGGGTCTCAAGTCATTACCCCAACCCATATGGTGCCGGCAATCCTCAAGAAGGACATCCTGGAGGGAAAGGACGTTAATCTCGTCTCACTTCTCATTGCCTCCGAGGATTTCACAGAGTACCGCTCATACACCTAGGGCGATATCTCAGTGGTCCTTAAGGTTGTGTGACACAAGACTGGAAGTTATTCATCAGTATAGTTATAACCTTCAGGGTCTTGTGTCAGTACAGACACTACTGTATTCCACATGTCTCAGCCTATATTCCTGGCAACTGTGTCCTATTAGTCTACCCTCAGGTCATGGGACTCAGCAGGTGTATAGTATATTGAGCCATGGCATTTCAGCACCTCTATCATGTCCCCTGTGTAGCCCCTACAACGATTATATGTTCACTGAAAGTTACTGAACGATTTCAGTATGCCATGTTTCAATCATGGCTACGCTGTCATAACCAGTAACTTTCAACTGATCTACAACTTAAAATAAACACCAACCCCACCCCATTAAACTCAACTCAGACTTACGTTACCTCCCAGTACCACAGGAACTACATTGGGCCACTCTCGACCTCTTATGCATAGTCCTCACACAAAGCCATCTATAGGCCTTTGCAACATAATTCAGGTAATCTTAGTGGACTAATACGTCTTATTTGCAACCCCTCATTTGGGCACTAAGTTCACATATCAGCTGGATAGGAATGTATGCGTTAAGTGCAGCTATCTCACAGCTTTCTACCTGTAAATCAACCACGTCTTATAGTATTATACTTCCGCTATATCTTGTACTGTCCACATACGGCCAAACAGTAGCTCTCCTCACTACCCTACTTACACGGCCTACTCCTGGCCAAAACGCACAGAAGGTAATAATTCCTGCATAACAGACGTTCCCCTTACTGATCATTGTACTACTTCAGTCCAGCATATTGAAGATTTTTGACGCACACACATGCCACATACATCATGACACGTACTGAAGTTATCATATGGGTCATTTAAGTTTCCCAGGGTCGACCTTACTAGCCAGCCGCCATTGGGCTTACATAGTCATTCCATGCTGGACTATTCCCACATCATCACCGCGTATTAGATCAGTTCATACACATAATAATATACTGTCCTTCCCGTTTTCCTGGCTATTGGACTGCTCGGGTAACCATGGTACAAAGTTATCCCATTAGCCATGCACGTGCAATGACTATTGTACGGCCTTCCCCAGCATCTAGGCTGTTAAGTAACTCCTGCTTACAGGGGCAACCATGACCTTATCATACAACAACCAAGTTTTGTTTCACTACCACACTCTTTTATACGTTGCATACGACCCACCAAAGGGCTATCCACTTAAGCAGCCCCTGGCAGCCCCTCAATTGGGCTATTACATACGACATAGGAAATTACAATTTGGACATAAGTTTGCAAGTTGTCACAACCTGCCACAGCATGCCTCTACACGTGGCCCTCACTAGGCCATCACTCTCATGTTACATACGACCCACCACGAGCAATCCACTACGACTAAATTTCGGCCCACAGGGGGGCAACTACATACGACCAAGGTCACGTCGGACCACTCAAATCCTCCATATCCGGCCCTTTCTCGGCATGTACAACTCCAGTCACAGACACTTACGGGCTCTACGATATTAGTTCCCGCTGGTAAACTAGAAGTGTCCCACATACTTCATACATATTTCAGGTGCTTCTAGTGGAAGGACGCCCAGCAGGAAATCACATAGGCACAATATATTTAGGCGTTAGATATATAGATAGATATATATATATATATCTATCTTTAACTAGGGTCATCTACATCTGGAGTCACCCCAATGCAAAGGCTTACACAGGGCTTGATGCAATCTCAGGGGACAGTTGGCTATGGGGTAGGTGGCCGGGAAACGAGCCAGCTCAAAGGGTTCCTTAAGAACTCTGCATACTTCAAAGTATATCCCATTATAGCTGCAGCAGCAATATGGGGTCATTCATGGGCAAGCAGACTGGTTCAAGGTCTCTGACAAGTTGTCAATTGGCCACGTCATAAACAAGTACGGTCTTGTATCCATTATTATCAATTCATCAGACGACTAACTTAGGGAATCCTGTCACCAAGTTTATATTGTATGTTACCACGTACCAGGCATTTACATACAACTGCTGACCAGTTATCTAGTCTTCAGTTTCAGGCGTTCAGGAGGTCCCTTACAACTACCTCGCCAATAGCCACGATCGCTCCCCAATTTCAAGAATTGCCTATGAAATAGAAGAGTTGTTAAGTCACAGCAAGAATTCACACAGTTGGCCCTCAAAGAATACTCACACTGCTATGACAGAGCTTACTGCATATAGCGAAGTTCATGTCAGATCACCACCTGGTGCAAGAATTCAACATTTTGCCAATTTTTTTTTTTGCCACATCAGAATTAAATGTCACACAACACTATTAAGTTATATCTCCCGTGCACTCAACACCACATGTTTTCAGCTACAAACATCATTCTATACACCGCCATATCCTTGGCTTTTATAGTTTCCTATGCCCCAGAGTATTTACCATTACAGGGCAACACGATTCCAAGCTTTGCCTACGGTATTCCAACCTGTACAAATACAGGATCACTACGTATTAAGCTTACCGTCAACTAAGACCAGCCAGAGGGGTCACGAGGCACTTATTCAGTACTACCACACGTACAATGCATACATCAGCCGACACAGGAATTAAGGAAAGCATTTGTGATCGTCGTAATACGCTAACTCGATGGCTTGTGTTTTCGTAATAATAACTTTGATAACACTATATGGGTATTCCTTTTTGCCCACTTATTTACAGGCCTACCACACGCGTCGGTTTCGGCACACCTCTACCGACTTTTATTATTGTTGTGATAAGTATAATCACTTGCTATTTCATGCTATACTGAAATGGCCCCGAACACAAATTGGAAGGTGGGGACTGAAGTTGTGGGAGGGGCTATGCAGGTTCAGACGTTCTTGGCCCACCTTCCTGTCCCTCTATTCAATACTATTTAAGGTAGGCCCACTTATTTACAGGCCTACCACACACGTCGGTTTCGGCACACCGTTACCGACTGTTATTATTGTTGTGATAAGTATAATCACTTGCTATTTCATACTATACTGAAATTGCCCCAAACACAAATATATTTTGATATAATACACATATATTAATATACATTTGTGCAAATATATAGATGCATAATACTCCCACAAATCACATAGATAAAGCAAAACTATATAAAAACTATATATAAAACTTTTTTTAGATTCAATTTATTTTAAATAAAAAAAAACACAAAAACAAAAAAAAAACACATGGGCAGACACATGGATTTTTAATTAATAAATACTCACTGGCACACACAGGCATGTAGTCACTGATGCCCATACATACTGACATATACTCATCAACAGACACTGGCACACAAACTAATGCTGCATCCCATACAAACACTGGCACACAATCAATAATGCATACACACACACACACACATTGATCCACACTGACACACACACACACACACACACACACATTGATCCATACTGACACATTGATCCATACTGACACACACACTACAAAAATACACACCAAACACACTCACAACTACACCATCAAATATAAACACTCTAAGAATCAGTACAATTAAAATGAAATGCCTGGGTGCCTCTGCTCACTGAGCCTACCTTGCTCCTTCCCAGCAGCTTCCCTCCAGCTCTCTCACAGGGCTCCCTGTCTGACAGCACTTTACACACAGGAAGCAAAACTTCAGAAGACCCTTGTGGGCTGCCCTGCTCTGTCTAATTGCCAGGTCACATGCTTCCTGAGTGTAAAGGCTGTCAGGCAGGGACCAGGACTGCCTACCTCCTTGCATTTACCCCAGGCTCCTGCCATCTTCGCTGCACTCACTCTAGGCTCCTCCTGCCGGCTGTCTGCTCTCTATGTCTCACTCGTGAGTAGCATTGAAAGTTCAATTTCCAGCACCTGCTGCTCGCGAGTGGATAAAGGAAAGCCTCTTCTAGAGGTAAGAGGTGACCTGTGCTCCCCAGTCCCACCAATGTGAGAGTGTGTACTGGGTGGGGAAAGTAAGGGTTGCTGCACTGTGCGGCCCCAAGTGCCACGGCCCACTGGGAAATTTCCTGGTATCCCGGTGGGCCAGTCGGGCCCTGAAGATAAGTATCGGATTCAGAATATTCCCAAAGCACCAGTTTTACTAGAATTCAGAACCACATGCACAGAGCAGCATGCGCATACACAAATTATCGTCCACTTGCTATTTTTCAAGTGAATGATAATCTGAAGTACTATGTGCCCACAAACCTTGGCACTGGAAGGGTTAATGATATATAACTCCAATGTATATGCTTTTTCTCTCTCTCTCTCTCTCTCTCTCTCTCTCTCTCTCGGTAGAAACATCCATTTTATGCAGATGTATTTTCACATTAAATCACTTATTCATTTAGAAGTCCTGTGAGTGCACCCCTTATTCCATTTATATAATATACAAACACACAATTATACTACTTGTAGATGGTGTGGAGACCTCAAATTATTTTGAAATTGACCATTTGAGGGTGGGATACACCGATTAAAGGGTATTACCTAGTTAAGTGTAGAATGGGAGAGGAGGAGGTTAGACAGGGACATACCACACTATAGCAGCTCTATAGGCAGCCTGGCAGATGAACCAGAAATGTATCATTTTAAATAGCACCAATCGCAAACAGAATTACTGGGCTGACTTCAAAAAGTGGGATAGATGGTGACTGTCCAAAAAAAAAAAAAAATGGGACTACCGGCAACTATGCATGATTCAACAAGGGTCATAGCTCTTAGTCTCCCACTTTCGGATGAGGGAGTTCTGAAGTGCTAGTGCCCCAAGAAGTTTAAAGTTTAAGCACAATAGAACAAAAGGTTTGACAGACAAGCCCTTCACACTAAAGAACTTACATATAGTTAAAGAATAATGTGAAATTATTAAATGTAAATTTATTTTATACATATCCCCATTAACTAAATAGTATCCTTGCGCGTGTAAATATATAACATATTATACCTACACAACGTGTAAAGGGCAGATCTATTATTTGCTCTGGGATAAGAAACACGTCAGTCTTCACACACGATGGTAGATCCCATATAAAATGACATTGGACATCTACAGATTTAACAAAGATTTCTAGAGAGTAAATACACATAAGGCAGCTGACCAGGGCTGTTCGTGCAACGTGCGCAGCTATAGTTATAGACCAGAGCTCCTTTCAATCTCAGATTCAGCAGAACACTCAGGAGTTTAGGCTCCTCTCAATTTCCTGGTTTTATTCCCAGATCTGGAGACACCAATGACTAAGGACACAGGAAAGCATGACTCGAGTATATCATGAGACACGCTTTCACCATACAAACCACACACAGGGCATTTAGCCCAAACACGCCAATCTGACATGCACCCTTTTTGGGCAATCCTGCTCCCCCTAGATCCCATCAACGACAGGCACCTTTATAGTCAACTCACTCTTATTTTGTTAGGAGGTAACACAGCCTGACACAACTGCATTTGTTTGGAAATAGAATGTGAGTGTTAAGCACAGGGGCACATTAGCCTTTGAGTCAGAGCGAAAAATATGTATTTTTGTACAATAATTCATCATGCTAAAAATAAACAATGTCATGTAAGTTGTAGATAGAAAACATTTAAATGCAAGAATTGTGTTTTCTCCTCATTTTACCCAATTTAGGGAGAACTGCTTTGCCTCACATGATACACGCAAATCAACTAAACATGTTAGCAGGAGACTCTAGTGACATGCACGTTTAGACTTTCCCATCAAGTCTCAAATACCTGTAGCGGTTATAACCACTCACCAGCTGCATCATAGGGAACATAGATTTACACGGCAACAATTGCATAAGCAAACTAAATCAATACTCAATATATAACAAAGCAAAGGGACTTTGGCATTTGGCAAACAGTCCACTGTTTGCTTATTTTTTCGCAATCCTCCATTGAGTAACATGTGAAAAGTGCAACAAAAGCGATCGCTATTTCTTCCATACAGATATCTTGGACCAGCCCACTTATAAACCAACATTGCATCATTCATTGTTCACATACCTTGCTGCACCCACACAAACTGTGATTCTTAATATAGCATTCTCTACGAGGAAATAATGAGCAAGTTACAAATCAGTTTAAAACAAATTTCTATATTTATTTTAAAAAAAATTCTCACACCCCTCCTGGGGTGGTATGTATTCCTCATTTTCGAGCCCTCTACCAGAGGCCTGGGAGTTTGAGGGTTCTGCGCAGTATCTTAGCTGTTCCTAGAACTGCACTATATTTTTTCTGGCTGTAGTGAGAACATCCCCATGTGTACCCGATTATAAAAGGGAAACTATAGTAATAGGAACACAGAGTTATATTCCAAGTACTATGGTAACCCCCCCCCCCAGTTACCTAATTTCAGCAGTGATGTTGCTCAGTGCTGGATCGCTCCTCCGTCGACATCAACCAGCAGGGGGGACCTAATGGGCATGCTTTCTTATGTGGCTTTAGCAGACACTGGATGTCATGTCCAGCATCATTTATCAGACAAAAAGTCTGCAAGAAACCCGGAAGCACCTCTAGTGGCTGTCTGGTTGGCAGCCACTAGAAGTGGAGTTAACCCTGCAAGATAATTATTGCAGTTTCTCAAAAACTGCATTCATTACAATTGCAGGGTTAAGGGGACTGGGACACAATGGAATGAAGAGGTCTGGGCATCCCTTTAAGAGTAAATAAGTGTGTAGAGGTTCATAAGAATACTCCTTTCTGTCTCAGAGATTTTACCTTTTAGCTAAAAGCAACAAGGCGTATTGTCAGTGTAAGGTTTGCCTTGGCCCGGCTGTTGAGCTTACACTTTAATAACCATTAGAGTGGAACCGAAAACTAGTCAATCCAGTTATTCAAATGTGAATAGGGATGTACATTGTATGCAGGAAGAACACAGCCTCCGCATGGGATCAATTAGGTTTTTTATTTTGTTTTTTAAATACCAATAATTGGAGGGTGTGGAGGGGGGGGATTAAATGACAGCAATGGTTACACCAACCAAATCAAACCATTCTAGAATGTTAGAAATATAGTGTTCAAAATAGGCCTTGGAACCAAAGGTCCCACAAAGTGTCAAATGAAAATAAATGTTTACTAGATTTCAAAAGGAAAAAGGGAGGCGGGGATATGGAACTCCTATGACTCGTTACATGTGCACAAATCACAACAAATTTATTTTATGTTTAATCATTAACCCAGAAATTCTGGACAGCTGGCAGAATAAATAAGATATTTTACAACTTCTCTACTTAGCATGAAAACTGCAATCATCGATAATTGTCAATTATCTACAATTTTTGCATTAGTGAATAAACATCAAAGTAGTTGTTAAAAGAACACCTGCCGTATATTTCACCTCTGTAAAATATCACTATCATAATGCAGGGTGAATAATCAATAAGAGAAAAAAATGAGACTTGACATTCATTGGGGGGTGGAGGGGGATATTAATTTGCAAATTAATACATTTCACAAAAGTTTAACAAAAGCCAATTTAAGAAATACAGAGCCATGATCATACCTACTGCCCAGCCAACTATTTCACATAAGAGAATAAACTGGGAGCACCACTCTCATTCTGGTCCCTACAAAGCACTTACAACCTACCAAATTCGGTGGAATTCGCCTATAGGCAGATCAACTCCTGGTTGGGGAAAAACAAAGCAACGCTTTCCTCAATGGAAACTGATAACGATCTGTCAGAAGTAGAAGAATGTGCAATAAAAACACAAAAAATTATGTCTACACTATACATCTGCCATTACCGCCCTCTCAACCTGACATTTGTACAGGCGTGGGAAAAAGACCTAGACAAGGAACTAACACACAAGCAATGGACACATTTGGAATATACTAAACGGGAAATGTTTGACTACTTTGATTTGTCCAAATGTCTACAGCCACCAAATCAAAAAGAGTATGTCTTCTGAATTGTATCACAAATGTAAAAAATAAAACAATGCTTTGCTTCCTCAAAGACTTGTGTACCTGTATAAAATTGTAACAATTGTAATTAATGTAACAATAAAACCTGGAAAAAAAAAAAAAGAGAGAATAAACTGAGGGTAGTACGAAACAGTGGGACATTCTAAAAGTAGATAGTGTCCCAATAGTCAGGTGCTCAGGATTGGCAAGTACTGAAAAAAGGGTTGGGATACACGTTTATTAATGCATAGAAATTAGTGAAGAATCAGTCATCAGCTAATTAAGTACAATGAGTTTTATTGCCAAATAAAAAGAGACAATGCAGGCTGAATTTTAATGTGGCATTTAAATCCATGCTATAACAAAACACAAGCAGAATCTGACAGTCTCATTTAGACTTTGTAACATGACATACGAGATCTTATATGGGCGGGTGGGAACATAGCCACGCACACGCCAACGCCACATTCTCTTCCGTTGACACCGGAAATGAAAATGCATTTCTAATCCTGCCTTTCTACAACCATGACGGTTCCACGGATTCAGACCAAAGACGGTGGTTTATCCAACCAGCCATTCACTCCCACCAGGTACAAAACAACTGACCAACAATGAGCTCCAACTCAGTGACTATCCTATTCCAAATCAGATTGTAAATGCACACACAGTAAGGAAATTATTACAGTTACGCATTTTGTTAAAGGAACACTCCAAGCGCTTTAACACAACAGAGCGCTATAGTGATTATGGTGCCAATATTTGCCTGACATCTCCCCCCCTCCCCATTGTAAGTAGTCAAACCATTTAAGAATAGTTTGACTTCTTACTTTGAGTCTGCTGGGTTCGCTTGCTGCCTTCACTACTTCCAACACAGGGCTAGAAGTTCCCAACCGGAGGGCTTAGCCCAGACAGAAAGCTTCCAACCCAGAACTCTCATTCAATCAATCCTGTACAAAACTGGCATTTGACAGCAGCACGCCCACAGACACACTGGGGGGAGAATGTAGGCACAGTCTAGCAGAGCGTGCCTACCACTTACGTCAGCACTGACAGCCAGCGAGGTGTTTCTGACATTATAGAAGTGCCTATTTCAAATGGATTTTCAGCACTGCTATACATCGCAATTAAGAAAAGATACTCCTCGCACATTAAGCACTTTAGCGGGCTGAATTGCTTTGTGTGTGGAGTGTTCCAAGCTGCTGTTAAAAGGGACACCATAGACACCCATATCAATTCAGCTCATTGAAGTTGACTGGGTGCAGTGTCCCTGCAATGTAAATGTAATATTTATCTCCAGCTATAAACTTATTTATTTACTGATGAAATTGGATCCTTTAACCCCTTCAGGACGGGTGACGGACGAGGTCCGTCACGCAGGGGAGACCCTTAACGACGGGTGACGGACCTCGTCCGTCACGCGGTAAAATTAACCCCGGATCGCCGCTATCGCGGCGATCGCGGGGTTAATGGTGCTCCCGGTATGCCTCTGCATTGGAGGCATACCGGGAGCACCCGGTCAAGCTGCCCAGCACATGTGCTCGCTCTGACCACAAGTCGGAGCGAGCACATGTGCTCTGTATACTTACCTACCGGCTCCCTGCACTTCCGGGTTCTGTGTGAAGTGCAGGGAGCCGGATCAGTGCTGATCCTGCCCCCTGCTGTAAAAAAAAATAAAGTTTATTTAAAGTGTCCCCCCCCTTACCCATTTTAATAAAAAATTAACCCCTTCCCTGCCAATTGATCACTGACTACAGTGATCAATTGGCAGGGATTACATTTTACTATGATCTGATTATTTTTTTTAACCCCTGAGGGTTAATTCTTTTTTTTTTTAACCCTCAGGGGTTAAATTAATTAAATTAATTAATTAAATTATTTTTAATTATATATTTAGATAGCTGGGGTGGGTGGAAGTTAGTGGGGAATTGGGGGATTTGGCGTTAGGCTAACTAGGGGTTAACGTTAAAAAAAGTTTTAAAAGAAACTTTAAAAAGTTAAAAATTAAGCTTAAAAAAATGTTTTAATAACATTTAAGTAAAAAAAAACAAAAAAAACACACTTTACCTAGTCCAAATAAAAATTAACCCCTTCCCTGCCAGTCGATCACTGCCTACAGCGATCAAATAGAGATCACAGTATTATACTGTGATCTAATTTTTTTTAACCCCTGAGGATTAACTTTTATTTATTTTTTTAACCCTCAGGGGTTCAATTTATTTAATTAATTAATTTAAATATTTTATAACTATATATTTTGCTAGCTGGGGTGGGTGGGAGTTATGGGAAAATGGGGAATTTACTGTTACTGCTGCATACTGCTAGTTAGGGGTTAACGGTAAAAAAAAAAGCTTAGAAAAATGTTAAATCTGTAAAAAAGTTTTAAGAAAGTTTAGGAAAGTTTAAAAAAAATTTATAAGCAAAGCAAAAGTTGAAAAACTAGTTTTTAAAAGTAAAAAAGTTATAAAAAGTAAAAAAAATACATTTTAAAAACGCTCATTACCACTACACCTGGAACAAACTAGAGAAAAAATTATCCCACGCCAAGGTTCAAAATATGCCTTTTGAATTACCCCAGGGTGTATTCTTTAATAAATAGTATGTGTTTGTGGGGAAGTTTCAATAACCAACCGTCTAAACTACTCCAAATTGGAACATGGACACAGCGTAAAACTTCAAAGTTAGAAAAAAAACTGAATGGCTGCGTCTCAAATGCGCCCCTTCAACATCCACATATACCTGGCAAAGGTACATACGGGGGTATTGCTGTACTCAGCCGACATAGCTGAGCAACATATGAAGTATTATACAGTCATAGCACACATAAGGTTTGCAAAATATGCTGCGCAAACTCACTTTGTATGTCAAAAAGGCAGAAAAAATGCTTATTACCACTACACTTGGTACAAGCTAGCGGAAAAATGATCCCACGCTAAGGTTCAAAATATGCCCTTTGAAATACCCTGGGATGTCTTCTTTAAGAAATGGTATGGCTTTATGGGGAATTTGGATTATATAGCCTGGTAAAATACTCTAAAATGGGACATAGGTACAGCATAAAAATTCAAAGTTTGAAAAAAACTGGAATGGCTGTGTCCCAAATGTGCCCCTCCGATGTCCACACATACCTGGCAAAGGTACATACGGGGTATTGCTGTACTCAGCCGACATAGCTGAGCAACATATGAAGTATTATACAGTCATAGCACACATAAGGTTTGCAAAATATGCTGCGCAAACTCACTTTGTATGTCAAAAGGCAGAAAAAATGCTTATTACCACTACACTTGGTACAAGCTAGCGGAAAAATGATCCCACGCTAAGGTTCAAAATATGCCTTTTGAAATACCCTGGGATGTCTACTTTAAGAAATGGTAGGCCTTTGTGGGGTAGTTTGAATTTAAAACCAGCGAAGATGCTTGGAAATTGCACATAGGCCCAGCGTCAAAATTCAAAGTTTGGTAAAAACGGATATGGCTTGGTCTCCTATATGGCACTGTAGCTTCAAGAAATAGTGCCAAAGACATTCATATGGGGTGTCATTTTACTCAGAAGACTTAGCTGAGCATAATTTGGGGGGTTTGAACTTAGTGGCACATATGAAATATACAAAACGCCCAGCAAAAATGCAATCCGTATGTAAAAAATGCACAAAATTATTTTTTACCACATACTTTGGCATATATTGGTGAAAAAATGGGGGCATGTTAAGGCACAATATGCACCTTATAAGATACCCTGGAGTGTCTACTTTTACAAATGGTAGGCCTTTGTGGGGGTTTTTTGAACAGTCAAACTGTTATAATACCCCAAATGGAAGCTAAGGCTCATTAAATCCGTCTCTCAAAATTCTACTGTGAATACTGTAAAGGACAGGTCTCCTATATGGCACTGTAGCTTCACGAAATAGTGCCAAAGACATTCATATGGGGTGTCATTTTACTCAGAAGACTTAGCTGAGCATAATTTGGGGGTTTGAACTTAGTGGCACATATGAAATATACAAAACGCCCAGCAAAAATGCAATCCGTATGTAAAAAATGCACAAAATTATTTTTTACCACATACTTTGGCATATATTGGTGAAAAAATGGGGCATGTTAAGGCACAATATGCACCTTATAAGATACCCTGGAGTGTCTACTTTTACAAATGGTAGGCCTTTGTGGGGGGTTTTTGAACAGTCAAACTGTTATAATACCCCAAAATGGAAGCTAAGGCTCATTAAATCCATCTCTCAAAATTCTACTGTGAATACTGAAAAGGACAGGTATCCTGTATGGCACTGTAACTTCACGAAATAGTGCAAAAGACATACAATGGGGGTGTCATTTTACTCAGCAGATGTAACTGAACACAAAATAAAACTTTGTACAGGAATAGCACACACCAACTTTACAAAATATACACGAGAATTTCTCTGTTATAAGTTTGTGTGCCAAAAACCAAAAAGAACACAATTTTACTCCAATATTTAGCAGAGGTTGGCGGTAATATGGCTACGTAGAAAGTGTCAAAACAACCTTAGGTAAATAGCCTGTGATGTCTACTTTATATAAATATATACTTTTGTGTGGCAATTTTGTTTTCTTTTATGGCTATTAAGCTTACAAGACAAACATACCAAATTCTAAAATCGCTCCACATTAAAAGTTTATTTTACTCCTTGTGCTTTGTGACCTGTAACTACCAAAAAAACTTAAAATCCCAGACACATTATATATTCTGTAAATCAGAACAAATAAATAAATTTATTTTTAATTACTTTCCTTAACCTGCACTAATTATGCACACATTATTATTGCAAAAACTGTAAAAAAAAACAATATTTTTCATTTTTTTGCATTTTTCTGTATTTTTTTTATAATAAGTAAGCATTTATATATCTATATGTTATATCAAATTAAAGCCCTTTCTGTCCTTTAAAAAACAGTATATAATGTGTGTCGGTGCAATAAATGAGAGAGATGCAAATTGCAGTTGAACGCAAACAGCAAGAAAATGCAAAAATTGCTTGTGTCATTAAGCGTAAGTCAAGCTTCTGAAGCTGTGTCCTTAAGGGGTTAAGAAGTGATACTAGATTATATTTCCCAGACAGGTGCACTTTAATAAAAACCCTTACAAGTTATACAGACCTACAGCAAATATGTAACCACCAAATCCAGCAACCTGGCATTGAGTGTAACCATTTGGGATATTACTGACCTGGAATAGTTTATCATGCAGGTCTGATTCCCAGCTAATTGCCAGTTCATATAACAAAGGCACCTATTTAAAGTTACCTTACCAAACAAACACTTCTAATTGTTCAATTGTGCAGTAATTGTTGTAATGCCTGATCTTTGTGACAGGCAGTGGATGATGTGTTAGGCTTGCAATGCTTTGTCCACATCAGCCCTACAAAGTTTGGACTATGTCTGTGAGTTGTACCTTCTTGTTTCGATTACGGACATGATAGTGAGCAGTGCAGTCATTGGGACATTCCACACTGCAACATCTTCAAGAGCCACGGCCTGAAATAACTGGTAAAAAAATTTTTTTTTAAAATTGACCTTAGGGTATAAGGTAGAGAGCAGCACTTAACAAACCGGTGGCTTTTGTCCCCATAGTGACGTGTAAATGGAAGCCAGCACAGGAGTCTGTCTTTAGTCTGAAAGCAGCAGTCAGGAGGAATTAAATGTGTGTTGGATGGCAGGGACCACTTTAACCTCTTAAGGACACATGACATGTGTAAAATGTCATGATTTCCTTTTATTCCAGAAGTTTGGTCCTTAAGGGGTTAAGGCCACCTTACATATAACAATGATTGACTAAGATGGAGTCGCCCAGTTGCAGGAAAAACTTGTGTTGATTTTTACATTTAAATTATATTTTTGACACCTCACAAATATATACTAAAAATACTTGCGAATTGACAGCTACCCTTTCAATGTTAATGTGTAAATGTGACGAGCTGTGAGTGAAAAAGCAGTGTGTGTAATGATGTCTGGCTACTAACTTTCAGCCCAGGCTAATTAATTTGAGGAAATGTGCCAAAACTTGCATTACAGATGTACGTTTGGCATTTTGATGGATTTAAAAACCAATTCCTGGCATTTATGGACTTCCCTAATTCTGACTGCTCCCCCTGCGGCATGGATTTTTAGACTGGCTATAGGAGATCAGGGGTGCCCAAAAGGTAGATGCCCAAATGTTGTAGAACTACAACTCCCATGATGCTTTGCATGCCTTTAGAATGACAAATCATCATGGAAGCTGTAGTACGAAAACATTTGGGGGATCTACCTTTTTGGCACCCCTAAGGTAGATCATTACTTGATTACAGCAGCGCTCACAGCAGTTTACAGATGAAGTTAATGTAGGGGGAACTCTAAACTAGCCACCAGCCAATGATGGACTGCGTCGCAACCTCACGTCACCCCTACCGCATGTGAAGCTCAGCTGAAGGCAAGAGAGTGAATAATCTACTGTAATGTACTGGGCTGGATGACGTAGTGGAAGGATCGTCAATGAGCCCGAAAGGCGACCGAAAATCTGAAAAATTATATCGGTCGATCCCTACTCTAAACAACCAAGAAGGAATTTGCACAAATTAAGTCAAACTAACCAAAGCGGAAAGTGTGACTTAAAATTTGTACAACCCGTCAAGTATGTGCTATTCCCAACTTAGTGAATAAAATCCTATAAGTATATAAACTGGATTATTCACTAAAGTTAGATTTGTTGTAAATTCATGGAATTTGTGAATTCAAACTGAATTTTAAAATTTTTAGTCTAAAATAGCTGAACTTAAAAACAAAGCCAAATACATCCCCCCAGCTCCCTAATTCAATCACTTTGTTCTATGATTAGACAATTTGTTTTTAATTCCCTCTGAGTGCCCAACAATTTGCACTCTAGAAAAAAAAAATGTTGCAATAATGTATTGAACTAGAAATGGAGGATTTGTTATACTAAAGCAGCTCGCTTTGTTTAGCCCTACATGTTTGTTATAGTAAAAACAAAAATCACGTATCTCGTTCAACCAGTTCAAGAACAATGGAAACGTCCAGAAAAGTAACACAAAATGAAAATAAACAGCATAATTATAGTACAAAATATATTTATAGTTCATAAAACTTGTAAGATAAAATATCTAAATTCATATGAATCATCGAAAATTAAAAAAAATAAATAAATAATAATTACATTTGAGTGAAAACTAGTCAAACTGGAAAAATTATATGTCACGTACAGCGCATTCAGCATCCGTCATTAGTTCCATTAGTTCTAGTAGAGGCGCTTCCGCAACGCTGGATGCGAAAATCGCATCCAACGTGCACAATGTCCATAGGAAAGCATTGAGTAATGCTTTCCTATGGGCATTTGAATGCGCGCACGGCTCTGGACGCTCATGCGCATTCGGCTCCACTCTGGAGCTGCAACGGAGGGGGATGAGAGGTCACCAGCGCCGAGGGAGCCCGGCGCTGGATTAAGGTAAGTAACTGAATGGGTTTTAACCCCTTCAGCCCAGCTGGAAGGGGGCCCTGAGGGCTTGTTTTCCTGCCACTATAGTGGCCCTTTAAATAGTTTTGCTAAATTTGATGTTTATTCACTAAATAACAAGCTGAGCAAGGAATAAATATATATATATATATATATATATATACATATATACACACACACACACACACATATACATACATACACACACACACACACACAAACACACATATATATATATATAAAATTGGGTCTCAACAAACAGTTTAGTGAAAAAGATTTCAATTTTCAACAACAAAAGCAGCAGGACCCTAAAGTTCCTTTGAATCTCTGGACCCCAAATATATCTTAACCCCATATACTTACCAGTGATATTAAACAGGAATGTGTGTTGGGTAACACTCAGCAGTCCTCCCTTACCACTGTTTGCTTCTTCCTGGTTACTATGCAAAGTGGGTAATAGTATGAAACAGCTAATTCCACTGAACAGACACAAATCCATCTCAGAGAGGGAAGCATTGTCATTCTTAGAGGGAGGTTTGCCTCTGGGTGTTTTTAGAGCCACCAAGAACCAGAATTATCTCCAAGTTAAAAGGAAGTATTCTTGCAGGCCCAGTATGGCAACTGGTTTCAGTTAACCTTATCTGGTTTCTGATAATTTACTTATTGTACAGCTCTCTGGGATAAACTGACACGCTACAAATAAACACAAAATACAAACTAGTAAACCTCTAACCCTTTTTCTAGCATAAGATGCTCCTTATCCTTCTGGATGCAAAAAAAAAACAAAACAACCCAATTACATTATATATATATATATATATATTAATGAGCAGCATCTTATGCTAGAAAAAGGGTTGGGGAGATTATATATATATATATATATATATATATATATATCCAGAAGGTAGGTCCCCAGCTATATATCTTATCCAGAATACAGGGGTGGCCAGAAGGTAGGTCCCCAGCTATATATCTAATCCAGAATACAGGGGTGGCCAGAAGGAAGGTCCCCAGCTATATATCTTATCCAGAATACAGGGGTGGCCAGAAGGTAGGTCCCCAGCTATGGATCTTATCCAGAATACAGGGGTGGCCAGAAGGAAGGTCCCCAGCTATATATCTTATCAAGAAGACAGGGGTGGCCAGAAGGTAGGTCCCCAGTGTAACAAACCACCTCTTTTACAGGTAGGATTGTCACAGATCTTACAGTAACCACAGCCTTCTAGGGTATACAAAGTCCAGGACACCTTCAGCTCAGTTTTCCTTTTTATTCAGTAAGAAAGCAGGTACTTTAAATAATAACAAAAACAAACAAAATCCCTTGCTCTTACTTGAGCGTTTACTAGACAGTAATTGCTATCTGCAATTGGGTGGCTTTCCCACTTACCAATTTTCCAAACAAAAGCAATGTCTTTGCAATAAACACAATCTCTCCTAGCTGTCTTTTTCTCCCTCACTCTGCAGCAGGCTGCTCTCTTCTTTTAAAGGCCTGTCTACTAATTGAGTAGCTACAGGTGAGTGCCAATTAGTTAACTCTTAAAATCAGATCCAAGCTGTGGTCTGTTATACAGCAACTAGTGCTGTTGGAGCATTGGCCCACCCTGCTCTCCAAATACTCCGCCCCAGGGACCCATACCATGTTTTGCAGAGCATCAGCTATGCATATTGCAAACTTTAACATCTCTCCCTGGGGCATTTAACTGAAAAATCCTCTGGTTGCTGTTTAGCAAATCAGGTCTGATGTATCTCCCATCAACCACTATTCCACCTTTACGCTCACACCAGCTATATATCTAATCCAGAAGACAGGGGCGGCTAGAAGGAAGGTCCCCAGCTATAGATCTTATTCAGAATACAGGGGTGGCCAGAAGGTAGATCCCTAGCTATATATATTATCCAGAATACAGGGGTGGCCAGAAGGAAGGTCCCCAGCTATATATCTTATCCAGAGGACTGGGGTGGCCAGAAGGTAGGTCCCCAGCTATATATCTTATCCAGAATACAGGGGTGGCCAGAAGGTAGGTCCCCAGCTATATATCTAATCCAGAATACAGGGGTGGCCAGAAGGAAGGTCCCCAGCTATATATCTTATCCAGAATACAGGGGTGGCCAGAAGGTAGGTCCCCAGCTATATATCTAACCCAGAAGGTAGGTCCCCAGCTATATATCTAACCCAGAAGACAGGGGTGGCCAGAATGTAGATTCCCCTGATAGACCAGCTGTGCTGATACAATGTAACAGGTAAAGGGAGCTGAGGATTCCACTGACATCAAAGTACATGCAATGCCCATTAACCCCCAGTGTGCCGCCTCACAATACAATGTAGCCTTACCACTGTGGCCCCGGCAGGCTGTGGTGACAGGGAGAGGGTCTGCAATCCGCGCTGACCTCCTGCTGCGCTCCCAGCGATGCTCACTGCCAACCAGCACGGGATTCCAAGCCAGGAAACGCGAAAACTACAACTCCCGGAATGCCTTGCGGCGCTAGAATCACACTCGAGGTCATTTCTTTTAGCAAAGCTTTATTAGCAAGGACATAGTAACAGCCAGTCACCCTGAGGCCCCTTTGTCCGTCCCTGCCATCAATTTGATGTAGGTTTACATGGAGCAGACACTCCTCTGTCTTCCTTCGCCATTTTAAAGGCAAAACCAAGCTAAACCTGCCTAATAGACCCTGCATGCCCATGTACATGGCTACTCATAATTACTATACAAAAAAAATACTTCTGTGTGCTATAGATAGAGGTCATTGGGTAGGTCCACCTAGTAGTAGAACTACAACTCCCATCATGCTTTCCAAGTCCAATTAACAGCAAAGTCTCATGGGAGTTGTAGTTTACCAAAGGATCCCTTTCATTAGCTATTCTCATCAAATATATATATTATTTTTTTATTTATTTTTTGACTGAGTAGTAAGCAGAGAGACTGCCTCCTTCTACTGTAAGGCTTCCAGGGTTATTTACTAATATAGGTTATTCACTCAAAAAAATTATTGTACAAAGTTAAAAGGTGAATGGTAAAATTTAATGGAAAAAGAAAACCAAAAAAACTGATCTAGTACAAATTTATACTTACAGCTTGCCTGTTTTGGCCTAAATTTCAGATTTAGAAGAATGTCTGCAGTTTGACTATTTTGAATTTCACTTTGTCAGAGACAGTAAGCTGACAGTAATAGCTTTGGGTGTGTAAAGGAATGAGGGACATACTGATTTCTATCACACATAGTTCTGTTATCGCTGCTACTGTATCTATATAACTTTCAGCTTCTGTGCAGTTCACAGTTCATACTTTGTGTCAAAACGAAAAGAAGTCTGTTCATACATCGGTACATGGGCAATCGTATTTCGATATTACACGGTCAAATAAAACATTACAAATCACCTATAACGCGTGTTAATGTTGTTATGTGATGCTTTATTTTCTTTTGAATGTAAATGAACCCCTTAAGGACACATGAAGGAAATATTCCGTTAGGATACCCTTTTATTCCAGACGTTGTGTCCTTAAGGGGGTTAAATGATTACTCCAAGCACAGAGAGCGAAGGTGGAGGCACTCAGATCCAGGATATATTTTGCAGACCTCACAAACACACGCAGGTTTTTTTGCTAAAGTGAGATAATAATTCAAAGTGAATTTAACTTTTAAGGTTAAACTTGCTAAACTGGAAAAATAAAAAGTCAGCTATGCTTCCAGCTGGCTGCTCTAACCTTAAAGTTCATATAACCCTGCATTCTTAACACTATAGTAACCCTGTCCCTAGTTAAATACAGACCTCTGTCCTCCCCCACTTGCCATAAAAAATAATGCTTCCGTCTAGGAGGAAGCATGTCTTCCTCCATGATGTCCACCTCCTGCAACGTCTATGAGGAAGTATGTCTTCCTCCATGATGTCCACCTCCTGCAACGTGTAACAGGAAGCATGTCTTCCTCCATGTTGTCCACCTCCTGCAACGTCTAGGAGGAAGCATGTCCTCCTCCATGATGTCCACCTCCTACAACGTCTAGGAGGAAGCATGTCCTCCTCCATGATGTCCACCTCCTGCAACGTCTAGGAGGAAGCATGTCCTCCTCCATGATGTCCACCTCCTGCAACGTCTAAGAGGAAGCATGTCCTCCTCCATGATGTCCACCTCCTGCAACGTCTAGGAGGAAGCATGTCCTCCTCCATGATGTCCACCTCCTGCAACGTCTAGGAGGAAGCATGTCCTCCTCCATGATGTCCACCTCCTGCAACGTCTAGGAGGAAGTATGTCCTCCTCCATGATGATCCAATGCAATGCTTCTCATAGAGGAATTGTGCAGATCCGATGCGCATGTTCATGGAGCACCATGCAAGCATTCAAGTTTCATCCCCCAGTAAAGCATTGCTTTTAATACTTTCCCATAATCATCACATTTGCAAATCACTTTGAATTCATATGGTTGTGAATGGTAATTGTGAGGGTTTAGAGAGGAAATTTAAATTTCAGACTGGAATAGCCATTCTGGAGGAATAGCTGAACTGGAGAAGTTTTCAGTTCAACCAATCTGGCCTACAATTTACTGCAGAACTCGGAACTTGAAATGTTTTAATGGCTCCCCTCATTCTAAAGGCAACTTTTTGTTTTGACCAATCCATATCCACTTCTAAATGCACACCTAGCAGCAGTCCTGTATCTAGTAGAACATTTGCAATTTGGGGCACTTTTCCAAGTTTTTATTTCTTGGTGTCCCTTACATAGGGACAACAGTGAAATTTTCTCAGTCACTCAGACAGCCATTAGAGGTGCTTCCTGGGTTACTGCTGCACTTTGTGCAGCACTGACGCCTAGCATCTCCATGCAGTGAATGCTCCTCATAAAGATGCATTGATTCAATGCATCTCTATAAGTAGATGCTGATTGGCGCAGCGCTGAGTTATGCTTTGCATGTGCAGTAGCCTTCCAATGCCTTCCTACGGTAAAGCATTGGATTGGTTGAGATTGTCAAATCCGATGATCTCAGCCATGGAGGCGGTGCCCGCCTCAGCAAGACTGGTGCGGCTCTGGAAAAAAAGGTGATTAAAACACCTTTTAAAAGTAATGAGAGAGTTTTTTAGCAGTGCTTTTAGAACTATAGTGCCAATAAGACATGTTTGTGTTCCTGACAATGTAGTGTTCCTTTAAATGCCGTTCTCTGCACCCTATAAGCAGTTTATAAGCGCTGATTTACATTCATAATAATTTCTACACCTGTCTTCCCCTGAAGCCAAGCCAAGAAGACATAATTAAAAGGAACTCACCCTTATGATGTACCATTCCTTGTCAGTAATAAATCTGTGGCACACAATCAACAATGTCCTCCAGCCACCTGGAAACAACCAGACAATTATCATTATACTTCCCTCCTCACACACAGAGCTGGATTCTGTAACTTGAGACAAATGTATCTCCCTGGCACAGACTCTCAGAGATGGCAAAAAGCAGTTCTGAGGTGTAAAACAGCGATAACATTTATACCAGGTAGCTGAATCTGTGCCAGATTTACAAATCCAGCGACATTAACAAAAAACAGTATTCATTCAAAGTGTCGCTGATAAAATGAAATCAGGATGCATGCAGCGGGATGCTTGCCAAGTGGTGTGTCTGTGTAATGTGGGTGTCTCTCCAAGTGTTCTACTATGGTCTGCAGAATTGATGCATTTTTCAGATTGTGTTTATAGTCCTACACTACCCAAGTCCGTACTATTTATATTTATGTTGTATACTTTTGTTTCCATGAACCTTTTGTTAACCTATAAGGTATCTCTGACTCATTTTTTAATAATATTACGTGTCACGCCGCCCGCTGGGTCCGCTCCTGCCAGAGAGAGGTATGGGTCCTGGCGGGTGCGCGTAGATGCGGCGTCATTCCCACATCACAAAGGGAATGCCGGCGAATACTTACCTTGTCCCCAGGCACACGCCGGGTCTACTCATGCCCAGGAGCGGACTGGGACCCCGCGGGTGCATCTCATTGAGGTGGCATTCCCACGTGGTAATGGGAATGCCGCCTATTGCTTACCACCTCCTGTCATGCCCAGGGCCTCTCTGACAGGCACTCCTCACCTTACACAGCACCCGGGTCTGTAAACATTAGAGACGCTTGCCGCTGCAAGTTAGAACCTTTTAAGGTTTAGTATTAACCCTTCTAGTGCCTAACCATTTGGAACGTGTGGGTGATGTCACACACACGTTCACTGTCACATGCTTCCCTGCAGCCAATCAGGGAGCACCTTAGGCTATTTAAACTTTTTTTTTTTTGTCCATTTCTCTGTGCCCTGTCGTGGTTGCCATTCTGGTTATCCAAGAGCGCGTTTTTGGTGTTGTTTCTTGTGTATTTTGACCTTGGCTATCCTACTGACTATCCGATCTCTGTATTCCTTGACCTTTGGCTTGGCTCTTGACTATTCTGACTTCTGTATTCCTCGACCTTTGGCTTGTTTTAAGGTTTCATGTATTCTGTATTCTTGTCCTCAGTCTGTCTTGTGTTTTTCCTTTTATATGTTAAATCCGGCCATTCTAAGGCCTGGTAATAAGTATTAGGGTTTTCTTTATTTTCTACTCAAGTTCTGCGCATTTGGGTATATTAGTATATCCTGACACAATGGTTGCCTTGTGCCTAGTTTAATTTTTTGAACTACAATAATTTTATTTCATTTCCCAGAAACTGAAATGGAGTGCTTCCATTATTTAGATTAAAAGTTCATTATTTATATTAAAGGTACTTGTCACCTACTTTGTCCACAGGGATACCTACCAGTGGATCACTCCCATTCAGCCATTGTTATAGTTGCTGTGTTATTCAGAACACTAGAATACAGTTATTCACTGTTCCAGGTACCCCACAATCACACCTTCAGCTGCTTATTTGACGCTCCTGGGACCTATGCCAGATTGGCTGATACATCTCCTGCCTGTGTCTGTACACGCCCGGGCCGTTACTACCAGTCTCTCAAGACTACACTGTGCATTTTATAGACACCACTATTATGCACTTTATTCCTGTTAACACCACTGTTACACTAGTTAACAATATTTTTGTTAAATAAATACCATCGTTACAGTTATTAACAATATTATTTTTTGCTAAATACTATTTTGACATTTCTTTCATTTATACTCACTGCCTCCAATATTTAATGTTTGTTAAAGGAAACTATAATGTCAGAAATACAAAACTGTATTCTTAACACTAATGTGCCCTCTGGCCCAGCCACCCCTCCCCCAGTGGAAAATAAAGGGTTAAAACCCCTTTTTAAAATGTAGTCGTTTCCAGCACCAATGTCCCTCAGCGCTGTGGTCTGCTCCTCCAATGTCAGCTGATAGGGGGGACATAATATGCAGACATGGCGAGCGACACGTGTATTAAGCGTTGCCCATAATAAAGCATTGCCTCAATTCTTTCATATAGGGATTTTCAACACGCTGGACATTCTCGTGCAAAGCGTGAGAACGTCCAAAATCGTTTTATGGAGCCGAATTTCGGGAAA